TGAAATTTTAATGAAACATCTTCATTTGGGGATTTTTAGGCTTTTTGCCAACATACAGTTTCAAAGCAGACATACAAACGCAGTATAATCTGCAGGTTAGATGAAATTAAATCAGGATTCAGGACCATTTTATAGGAATAATTTTTCAAGTCTGCCTGGGTTAATGTCACAGTAAGCCACATACTATATATCAGGTATTTTGGAAATAACTGTAAAAGCAAGAGTTGCCGAATAAGCTTCTGTAACTCCGATACTGCAATATGAGGATCAAATGAGAAACACAAAGTACAGCTGGCCATCCGTGTCAGCAGGTTCTGAAACCACAAATACCGGGGGATGAAAGACTATACCTGAAAATCCTTTACAAACTAAGTTGTACGATAGTCTTTAATGGGTTCAAAACAAATTAACTGAAGGACATCACTGCCCAACATGAGATGTACTGCACCTTCAATAACATCTTCCTCTGAACCACTCAGATCTTTCTTTTCTTCAGTCTCAAAGTCATAGGCTCTCGTAAACTGATCTTCCATGGACGGCTTCCCAGATTTCCTGGAATACTTTTTTCCGGAGGACACCATATTTAGATGCTTCCTGACTTTAAAAAACAAATTTCTTGAACCTTCTGAATCCAAAGGCATCATTTTAATACACTGGTAAACGTTTAAATATCAAAGCAGATATCGAACAAGGATTGTTGAATACAATTTTAACAGTTTCCTCATTTATTTGGGGGGCCAAAAGTTAAGAAGATAATGATATTTGTTAAAAACTAAATAGGCCAAGCACGGTAGTTCACGCCTGAAATCCCAGCACTTTGGAAGGTTGAGGCAGGCAGATCACCTGAGGTCAGGAGTTCAAGACCAGCCTGGCCAACATGGTGAAACCCCGTCTCTACTGAAAAAAAAAAATACAAAATTAACCGGGCGTGGTGGCGCATGCCTATAGTCCCAGCTGCTCAGGAGGCTGAGGCGGGAGAATCGCTTGAACCCGGGAGACAGAGGTTACAGTGAGCCTAGATCGCGCCACTGCACTCCAGCCTGGGTGACAAGAGTGAAACTTCGTCTCAAAAAAGAACAACAACAAAAAGGCCCGCAGCGGCTCATGCCTGTAATCCCATCACTTTGGGAGGCCGAGGCGGGCGGATCACTTGAGGTCAGGAGTTCGAGACCAGCCTGGCCAACATGGTGAAACCCCATCTCTACTAAAAATACAAAATTAGCCGGCCTTAGTGGCAGGTGCCCGTAATCCCAGCTACTCGGGAGGCTGAGGCAGGAGAATCGCTTCAACCCGGGAAGCGGAGGTTGCAGTGAGCCCAGATGGCCCCACTACATTCCAGCCTGGGTGACAGTGCGAGACTCCGTCTCAGTCAATCGATGAGGGAATGACAGCGTCCACCCCGACTCCAAGCGCGCTGTGCTGGAGAGGTGGCCCCTGAGGCCTGGGAGATCCGAATTTTGGGAGCGCCTCTGCCAGATGCTGGCTACATCTGGGCAACTCTAGCAGGCCGCTCAGTCACACGGGGAAATTACGGTTGCTGGCGGGACACGTCATGAGGATGCCAGAAATAAGCTCATAATAATCAAGACAAATACACAATAAAAACGTTCCGCAATTTAGGTCTCGGAATGTGAACGTCGGCAAAAGATTTCGACAACAGATAATACTGAGGAACCACGAAAGGCGCCCTCGGTGTGGAGCGGGCAGGAGGGAGACACGCGCCGAGCGAGGTAGGGCCCTGCCCGGCCCCGCCGCATCTCTGCGTCAGTGGTCCCAGGGTGTAGCGATGGGGCCCGGCCCAGCCCAGCCAGCCCGCCCGCCCGCCCCTCTCTCCAGTGAGGTTCGCGGCCTCCGTTTTCTCGTCAGAGGCCCCAGGCAACACCAGGAGGTAAGATTTACCTCACTGGTCGAGGTCAGCCCCTGGCCTGGACACCTAAGATAGACAGACGCCTCCCCTGCTCACACCTGAAACAAACCGCAATGGCTGAGGCCCAGTTACCGGTCGTCGACAGGCGTCCTCCACAACCTCCACACGCGCGCCTCACCTCAAGCGGCCCCTTCTCCGCGGCGCTTCTGAGGCAAGCTGGGATTCGCACAGGAAAAAAGCGCGTCTCGCCTCATCCGGACACGTCGCTGATTGGCTGGACGCAGAGCGCAGGCGTGAACTGAGTGGCGAGGCTCCGCCCCCATGGTGCGATTGCGCGCCCAAATCGCCGGCCCAGGATGCTTTGGCCGCCCGGGCGGGCTGCGAGTAGACTTGAGGCCTGGTGCCTTCCAGTTTTTAAGGTGTAAATGTTTATGATCGAAAATTGCGGCTGGGCGCAGTGGCTCACACCTGTAATCCCAGCATTTTGGGAGGCCGAGGTGGACGGATCACTTGAGGCCAGGAGTTCGAGACCAGCCTGGCCTCGTCTCTACTAAAAATACAAAAATTAGCCGGACGTGGGGACGTGGTGGAGGGGGCGCCTGTAATCCCAGCTACTCGGGAAGCTGAGGCAGGAGAATCGCTTGAACCCAGGAGGCGGAGCTTGCAGTGAGCAAGACCGCGCCATTGCCAGCCTGGGTGACAGAGTGAGACTCCGTGTCAAAAAAAAAAAAAAAAAAAAAAAAAAGAAAAAGAAAAGAAAATTGCAGAATAATATGTAAATTATGAAACATGATGAACATACCACCTAATTTATGAAGTAGAGCTTTACCAACATTCACTGAATCTCCTCAGGCAGGCCTTTCCATCCGATCCTCACCTGGTCCCCCACCCTTCCCCATTCAGGGATATAAGAAAATTACCCTAAATTTATGTAAATCATTCACCCTCCCTCATTTTCTAAGTTTCATTACCACATGAAAATGTGTCGTTGAACAACACGGCTTAGTTCCGTTCGCATTTGGCATTACAAAAAATTGTCCCATAGTCTATGTAGTGTTTTGACAGTCCACTACAATGGCAAAACTACAAAATCTGACTACATGGAGTGATGATGAATCTATGTAACCAAGGGAACCCATTCAGTGGGTGGGAGTATAATTGTAAAATTATTTGGTGTCAAACAATTATTTGTAATTCGTATCAATTGCAAAACAATTTTTGAAGATATAATTTATAAAGGAAATGAAACCGATAATCCCACTACCTAGAAATAATATACAGTTTAAAATTGGGGGTATTATTTCCTTTCATCCTTTTTTCTGTGCTTGTATGTATTTCCCCCAAATAATTTTAAAATATATTTCAACCTTTGTACTTGCCTTAGTTTGCTCATAGCTCTGCAATCCTTTTTCTATTTGAAATCATACATTTTATCTTTTTTTTTTGTGAGACAGGGTTTTGCTCTATTGCCTAGGGTGAAGTGCAGTGGCATGATCATGGCTCACTGCAGCCTTGATTTCCTGGGCCCAAATGATCCCCCGTCTCTGCCTCCTGAGTACCTGGGACTCAGGCACATGCCACCATGCCTGGCTAATTAAGAAAAAAAAAAAGTTTGCCGAGATGGGGTCTCACTATGTTGCCCAGGCTGGTCTCAAACTCCTAGGCTCAAATGATCCTCTCACCTCAGCCTTCCAAAGTGCTGGGATTACAGGCATGAGCCAACTTTCCTGGCCTATATTTTACTTCTTTAATATTTGGCAAAGGCTTCAGGATCTTATTGACGCCAATCACTTTTCAACTGCCTAGTTCAAGTAAGAAATTCAAAGGAACCCTCCTGTTTACTCTTTTGCTTTGAATCCTCTTCCTTATGATGCTCAGCAATCCACTGGCTCGTTTAAATACACCAGTGTATTGGGTAAGGAATGACTGATGACGACTCCCAGACTTGTTCCTGTAATTCCATTCACTACATCAAATCTGTTGATACAGGATACAGTGAACCTCGTAAATTTTTCATTACTGAAAGGATTCAAAAAAAGTTTGTAAAGCATAGTACAGTACCTGCCACATAATAAATGCACCATAAATGGTGGTTTTTATGATTGACAATTGGTCCCAATTGGAATCCTGCTTTTCCTCTCTTGCCAGCCTCATTCTTGGCCTCATACTACATCAGCCACATTGCATTTTCCCAAATGTGCTGTGCACTCTTATGCCTCCATACCCTTATACATGCTGTTATTACTAAGTAGTTCCACTCACTACATCATCATATTCAGTTGTTTTTCCTACAGTGACCCTTACAGAAGATCATCTGTCATTTTTCATCTTTATTCGTAGTAAAAATTTCCCAAGATTATCTCCAGCACCTTGGCATTTCACTGCTATAAAGAGCATGTCTGGAGATTTCACCATGTGCTTCAGCAGGTAATTTACAGATAATTTTTAACAGACACACCAATATTTCCAGACCTGTCTCAGTATTCATTCTTAGATGACCACATTGTTAATACTTTCCCATATAGATCATCACCCCATTTATTCCAATTATCTGGATTCCTAACAGAACATTTTCCCATTTTCTTTAGTAACCAATGGTGTAGAATCTTGTGATTATTTGAAAACCTAAATATTACATCCCTTTTTTCCTTATTCAGTCTTGAAGAACTCAGGTAATATAGTCGAAATCTTAGAGGCCAGGAGCAGTGGGGCTCATGCCTGTAATCTTGGCACTTTTGGAGGCTGAAGCAGGAGGATCGTTTAAGCACAAGAGTTTAAGACCAGTCTGGACAAAATGGCGGGACCCCATCTCTATTTATAATTTTTAAAAACTCATAGAAATGTCTCCATAAACTACTCTGTAGATAATAAGAACAGCATGTATAAGGGTATGGAGGCATAAGAGTGCACAGCACATTTGGAAAATGCAATGTGGCTGATGTAGTATGAGGCCAAGAATGAGGCTGGCAAGAGAGGAGAAGCAAGATTCCAATTGGGACCAATTGTGAATCATAAAAGCCATCATTTATGGTGCATTTGTTACGTGGCAGGTACTGTATGAATGCTTTATATTTTTTAAAAATTCTTTCAGTAATGAAAAATTTACAAGGTTCACTGTACTCTGTATCAACAGATTTTTCCAATTGCTTTCAAGTATGGCGGCTTGCCTTCACCTCGAGTACCTAATCCAGGAACTTAGTCTTCCACCTGCACCGTCTCTAATCTGTGAAACTGGAAGGTGATGTTTTTGTCGGCCCAGCATCACTCCCCTCATTCCTTCGGTAAAAATCTCCATCCCTCTGGCTACAGAGGTGGGCACACAGCCCAGAATGAGCCAATCACAGTAACTCATCTCCCACCAGGGTTTTCTATTTTGAAGCCAGAGAGGAAACTTCCTGCCTCTCTGGAGTATGTGAGCCAGGAAATGCCATGTCCTCACCAAGGGGAGAAAAGCTGATGTGCAGAGAGGCACAGATAGACGGTACTGAGTAACGGTTCAGGAAGAGCACCTTCCTCCTGTACCCCTCTTTGTTTTTCTTAAGAAGCTTGAATTAGATTTGTCCCTTGGAATCCACGTTTATGTGGTGGCTAAAAATTTTGTAGAGACTTGGGTGGAAAAGCTGTCTCTATTAATTAATAGTGAGACCTGAGGTGAGGCACTAAACCTAGTTAGGCCCCAGTTCCCTCACTGATAAATGGGGATATGTTGTGGATGAAATGAGATGATGAACTTAAAAGCATTTAGCACATAGTTTGTGTGCAGTAGGATGTAGCTGTTATTAGGGCAAGTGAGAGGAGAAAAGCAATTAGACTGACGAGAAGCCCCCTTCACATCCCTTTAATCACCACGGCTCTGTACTCCTGTCACAATGAAGCCTGGGATTTCCCTTACAATATATCACAAAGAAAAACAGAGCATGAATAAATGTGGCAAAGTCTTGATAACTGTTGAGCAGATAAGAATTCATCTATTGGTCTTTTTAACAATTTTTATGGTCTTTTTTAAAGAAAGATCTGTTGAGATTATCATCGTTTCTCCTTTGGTCTTTCTGACGTGGTAAATTGATTTTCAAGTGTTGGGCCAAATTTGCATTCCTGGAGTAGGCCCCGCTTGACTGTGAAGTGTTGTTCTTCTGGGAATAACTGAATTTGGCTTGCTAGTGTTTTGTTTGGGGTTCTTTTGGAGTAGACTGCCCATGGTTTTTGTCTTGTGGTATCTGAGCCAAGTGTTAGTGTTGGGGTTGTGTTTCAAGGGATGAGTTGGATGATACTGTATTTTCCTTTTTTCTGCTCTCTGGAAGAATTTGTGTGGGACTGGTGCTGTTTCCTCCTTAGATGTTTTGACCTAAGTAGTGATTACACTTCAGTTTAAATCCTTGATCTGTTATTATTTGTATACACTTCTTGGTATATGTAGAAATAATTTTCAAAATGAACACTTTTGCCAGGCGCAGTGGCTCACACCTATAATCCCAGCACCGTGGAAGGCCGAGGCAGAAGTATTGCCTGAGCCCAGGAGTTTGAGACAGCCTGGATAACACAGTGAGAGCCTGTTTCTACAAAAAAATAAACAAAATTAGTCAGGTGTGGTGGAGCACACCTGTAGTCACAGCTGCTTAGGAGGCTGAGGTGAGAGGACTACTTGAGCCTGAGAGGTTGACGCTGCAGTCAGCTGAGATCACACCACTGCTCTCCAGCCTGGGGCAACAGAGTGAGATCCTGTCTCAAAAGAAACAAACAAAAAAACAATTTTGAAGACATAAGGTAGGTTAAAAAAAATCCTCTTTTTAATTAGAAAATGTATCACTTTTTTAGCTAAGAGCAATGTAATAATCTCACCCTGATGACTAGACTAGGAGCCTCACCTCTGGCCTGGACAACAGTCTTTTACAAGAATTTTCATAATTCCTATCATCACCACTGACATTTAGCAGGCAGGACTATTTGCCAGGCACTGGGTTGCGTGTGTAGCACATGTCATTTCCTTTAATTATCACCATAAGCCTCTGTGGTAGCTACCAGTATTGCCTCCCACATTTTGGCAGAGAAAGCTAAATCATGGCAAGCAGTGTCCAGGATCCAGGACTTGAACTCCTGTAGTCTGACTGCTGGGTGTGCTCTTCACCCACATGTGCCACAGTCCTGGGGAGGCAGCATGGGCTGGTGGGGACAGGAAAGAGGGACAACCTGGGTTCCCACCGTACCTCTTCCTCTAACTGGTTGTAAGACCTTGAGCAACTCATGTCATCCCCTGGCCTTGGTGTCCTTGATGATAAAAAGCAAAGCTTGGTCCAGACAGTTGTTTTGAAACTCTGCCTGAAGGGCCTGGGACCTAGAGGCAACACCTTGAGAATGAAGCAGGAGGAGCAGCCTTCCTTCTTTTGTGTCACAGAATGCTGTGGTTAATATTTTTATCTGTCCAAAATTCATGTTGAAACTTAACTGGCAATTTAAAAGTATTATGAGGTGGGGCTTTCAGAGGGTAATAAGTCATGGGAACAGAGCCCTCATGAATTCAATTAGATGCCTTTTTTAGAGGGCTTGACAGAGGCAGTTTGTGCCTTCTTGCCCTTCTGCTCTGTGAGGACATGGCATTCAAGAAGCCATCTTAAAAGCAGAAAGCAGCCCTCAGCAGACAACCAAACCTGCTAGCCCCTTGATCTTGGACTCTCGGCCTCCAGAACTATAAGAAAACGAAGTCCTGTTCTTTGTAAATTACCTAGTCTGAAGTATTTTGTTACAGCAGCACAAAAAACTAAAACACATAGTGACCTTCTATAGGATTTCATTTGAACAATCGGTTCTGACCATCTGACTGCTCATCAACTTCTGAGGTTCCTCTCTTCTAATGATTCTACTGAATCACAGAATCATTAGAATGAGTCTATGAATAGCCTATGATTATATTATCCATCCCATCATCAAGCTCCTAATTAGGTATGGACTATATTCATCTAACCATAGAAATCGTCATTACAGACAAATGTTCATTTCTCTAACTTTTCTAGAATAAATCTCAGCTTTTATAATGACACCAACATATCCTAAATTTTTACCATATGATAAAGTCCATTTAGAAACTATTTTCCCCCCTATAAAGCAACATTCTTCTGTATAATACTAATCTTTCCTTACTTTCCACTTAATTTTAGTAATGTTCAGCACAGAACCTGATACACAGTAAAGGCACTCAAGTGACTGCTGAATCTGAGTAACAGTAAACTCAATCCTCAAAGATTTAAACATCAAAGTGTCAGACAAAAATTTAACTTTTTATGAGATTTCAGTTTTTGAAATACACAACTCTTACAGCACAAACACAGTATTTACATTTCAAGTTCTTTGTACAAAAGATGTATGCCATTTTGAAAGAATATTGTTGAGATCATGATCTAAAATACCTGTCAGAGTTACTCATGGAATCTGGTCTTCACAAATCCATTGTATTATGACATAAACAAAATATGGCTAGATGCCAAGGTTTAACCACACATAAAAATACTAATTCTCAGCTGGGCGCAGTGGCTTACACCTGTAAGCTCAGCACTTTGGGAGGCGGAGGCGGGTGGATTGCCTGAGGTCAGGAGTTCGAGACCAGCCTGACCAATATAGTGGAACCCCGTCTCTACTAAAAATACAAAGATTAGCCAGGTGTGGCGGCGTGCACCTGTAGTCCCAGCTACTTAGGAGGCTGAGACAGGAGAACTGCTTGAACCTGGGAGGCGGACGTTGCAGTGAGCTGAGATTGCACCACTGCACTCTAGCCTGGGCAACAGAGCGAGACTCTGTCTCAAAAAAAAAAAAAAAAAAAAAAACCCACCACCACCACCACCAAAAACTAATTCGCAGTGATTGGCAAATGATGGCCTGAGGGTCACATCTGGCTGGTGGCCAGTTTTGTACGGCTGCAAGTTAAACATGGTTTTTACATTTTTAGAGGGTTGTTTGAAAAAAACAAACTAAACAACAAGAAGAATATATGACAAAGACACAGGTGGCCTGCAATAATTTACTATCCAGCCTTTTACAAAGGAAGTTTGCTGGCCTCTGTTCTATCTAAAACTGACTGAGAGAGATAGCTACTGGAATATACCGATGAGTATTCAACAAGACACCACTGTAATGTGCCAGTGCCATCAGCACTACTCATTTCTAAAATGAGGCACTTCTGTTTGAATATGTACATTTCCAAAACATAATTACATCTGGTAAGTAGCACTGTTACTAACTCTAGCCCTTTGAAATTAGACCTGCACAGGCCGGGCGCGGTGGCTCAAGCCTGTAATCCCAGCACTCTGGGAGGCCGAGACGGGCGGATCACGAGGTCAGGAGATCGAGACCATCCTGGCTAACACCGTGAAACCCCGTCTCTACTAAAATACAAAAAACTAGCCGGGCGAGGTGGCGGGCGCCTGTAGTCCCAGCTACTCCGGAGGCTGAGGCAGGAGAATGGCGTAAACCCGGGAGGCGGAGCTTGCAGTGAGCTGAGATCCGGCCACTGCACTCCAGCCCAGGCTACAGAGCAAGACTCCGTCTCAAAAAAAAAAAACAAATTAGACCTGCACATGAAACTATAGTATTCTTAGGGGCTGAAGTCAATAATTACAAAGCATTTCAGATGTCAATCACTGACCTCTTCAGTAGTTAGTGGTTTAAGACCATTTACAGTCTTAAACATTAGTAAAACCCATAATTTAGGTTATTGTCAGTAAGAGGTGATATTGCTGCATTATTTAAATAACATCTATAAAAATAGGTTTAGACATCCCAATTCATTATACTCAGAAGCAAGAATAACTAGTTAACTTAGTAACTACTCATTTTAAAAATGGGAAATGAAAAAAAAAGTGCAAAACTTCAGCAAAAGGCTTTGGAATGCAAAGACTGGGGCCTCTTAGCAATCACTCCCAGCTGGCATAGGCTTCTCATAATAAAGTTAGTCTGCAATGATTGCTGTGGGAAATTAGCAGCTGTCTCTTGCCAGTGAGCCTTTTTATAAAAAGGATGACAGGTCCATGAGCAAATTCTTGAAAAGTAAAATCAGTTCAGAGCTGCTCAACACACAAGTTTTCAGTGGGTTGGTTAAATAATTCCTGGTCATCGGGCTATATTCATGCCACAAAACAGCATGGTACTGGATATTTTCCTTCTTCGAGCCAAACTGCTAAGCATCACATCGCAAAGACATCTCTGTGAAGCTGAGTTTTAAAATGCTCAGTAAATGCTGAGGTAGATGGTTTTCAAATGAAGATCTTCTATACTCTGATTCGATTGGGACTAGCTTCTTTGTGTATCCTCCTTCTGGGAAATATCTTCCGCTTAAGTGCAATTAACTAAATGATGAAAGACACAAAATACATTTTAATTATCACGTTGATGAAAGAATATAAGTGCATCATACTTTCTAAGAGCCATATGACCTTAATCATTTCCACAATCTTATACATAAAAAACAGACAACAAACAAATCTCCATCATTCCTCCTCCAAAACAAAAACATTAGTTTTGTTTAGCTTTGTAGGGTCAATATGCCTAGATATGTGCCCACAAAGACACCCAAGAGGATTGCAATTATTTTAGCCCACGCTTCATTTTTCTAAGACCTACAACTACAGACTTTTACACAGCTATTACCAAAGCATATTTATTTACAAGATATCCATTTGTCAAGTCTTTCTACTGAAGGAAACTGTCTCTATTTAGCGATAAGACACTGTCTCTGGGTTTGAAAATGACTACGTTTGTAAAAAAAAAAAAAAAAAAACCACACACCTATATTGAAAATCTTATCAGCATTTCTCCCCCGCTATTTAACCTAATCATAATCATTGGAGAACACAGGCAACACCCAATTTAAAATGGATTGTAATATATAAGTTCATTTGTAAATTAGTAGCTTAGAACTTGAATACTTTTTTCCTCATAAAAAGTTTGCCTATAATACATTTGAAACAGAAAACCAAATCAACACTATAATAAAATTTCAATTTAAAAATGTGGGGTTTATTTTCTTTGAAGAGTCTCACTCACTCTGTTGCCCAACCTGGAGTCCAGTGGCGTGATCTTGGCTCACCGCAACCTCCACCTCCAGGGTTCAAGCGATTCTCCTACCTCAGCGTCCCGAGTAGCTGAGACTACAGATGCACACCACCACACCCAGCTAATTTTTGCATTTTTCGTAAAGATGAGGTTTCACCATGTTGGCCACGCTGGTCTTGAATTCCTGATTTCAAGTGATCTGCCTACCTTGGCTTCCCAAAGTGCTGGGATTACTGGCATGAGCCACCGCACCCGGCCCAAAATGTGCTCTTTATGTTTTCCATCTAGGATCTTTGGGTTTACCCTGTCTTCCCTCTCCCCAACCATGTAGGACTGGCTTGTTCCTTCATCTCTAGGTGGAGGCAGGGCTTTGTCCAAACATAAGCCACCATGGATTGAATGATGAACTGGGATTTGGGAGGGAAGGAAGAGGCAGCATTGGCTGATTTGTTTGTGAAGGTGGTAGGTATGGCAGGAGGAAGGAGTTTGACTCCAGTAGGTAGAGAGCAGGGTGCTGGGATTTAACCTGCCCTTCCCTTCCCTCTTCCTGCCTCTCTAGTTCCCTATTCTCTGCTGGTATAGATGACACAAAGGAAAGACTAACAGTCCTCTTCCTTTCCACTACCACGACTGCTCCTTTCGGTCAGGGCTCCTTTCCTTCCCCATCCTAGGTCAGCACAGCAGACTCAAAGGTTCCTCACTGGACCCTGTTCTAAAAGCAGGCACAGCCTTTCTGAGATTTTTCGTAAGACTTTTACCTGCCATGAACAATGGTAACAAACATCAAGAATAAGATGTACAATCCCTGGGAAGCAGATGAAGGTTAAGTTGCTGTCCTGTTCACCTGCCCAGTCTCTGTTTCCTGAATTTCCTTCCATTTGCAGCAAGAAGCCCATTTGTTTATCCTAAAGCTCTCAGTACTTAGGTGCCTGTCCTTCTTGGTATAAGTCAATTTGGTGTACATTTCATTTGAGTGACAGCTAGAAAAGCTCCACTCAATAGTCACCTTGATTGGAGGCAGAGGCCAAGTCACTTGCCCAACCCAAGTCAGGTCGGTAAAGATGCCCATTCCCCTCCTTCAATCCTTTATCTTCAGAGTATTTCATATGTGAATAGCCTAATGAGGACTCTCTTATCCCTTTCTTTTTACTTCACAAATCTCCCTCCTACTTCTGGTCGCTCACCTCAAGGAGGCTGCGTGTGTACATGCATGCAGAGGAAAGCCCAGGTGTAGAGGGGCTGATGAGGAGAGGAGGGAGGAGGAGAGAGGAGGGAGAACTCCTAGCGACTGAAAGAAAGATAAATGGGAGCTACCGGTGTGAGTGGGACAACACGACGGAACTGGGGGATGTCTGAAGACACTGTGCTCACTCAAGGAAGGGTGAGAGAGGAAGATAATTGGAGACCCACAGAAAATTAACATTAGATAAGGATCCTAGATGGTTTTTTGGTTATAAATACTTAGAGCTACTTGGTTTTAGCCTGGTATCTACAAGTTAATCTGTTGAGTTCCAGATAAAAAGAATACTGGTAATGGATTTAGAAGAGAAATGAATAAAAGACTGTTATATTTGCTGCCTGAATATTGTGAAACATATTTAACATATTCACATATGAGCTATAAGACAATAAGAGAAGCTAAAATTTTGATTGTAAGTGTATATCATTTTCTAAAACATTCAGACACTAGTATACCAAGAAATACCATTTAATATCCACACAAAATATACAAAACTTACCTGCTCAGCAAAAAATGAGAATATAGTAAACATAATCAATGTTGCTAGTACACAATGGGTCCAAAACTTCAATTTGTCTCGATAAGCCCTCCTGTGCAGAGAGAGAAGAAAGCAACTATGTACTTCTGTATATGGTTTCACTACCATTGGTTAAGCATTATTTATGTACTAGTTTTATAAAAACTATGTTGGGAAACACAAAAACATTGTCTTGCAATTCTAAAATGCTCACACAATATACATTTCCAACATGAGTTCAGATTTTTTATTATGTCATAGTAAATATTATACTTGAATTAGTAAAGTTATCCAGGCAGGGGAGAGGATTTCAAAAGAAAATTACTTCTGGCACTTAAACAAAACCACTCTTTCATTCATTTTTATTCATTCATACTTATTTATTCACTCAGTTACTTGATAAATACTTCCTGTGGATATGGAGAGATGAACAAGATGAAGTCCCTGCTTTAAGTGTTTAGAAACCTGAGGCGTTGCTGACATGCTGACTGATGACTTGCCGTCACATAAGACAGACAGAAATACGCATTATCAAAAGCAGTCTTGTGGAAAAACTTAGAGAAATGAGGACAGCACCACAGAGATGGCGGCATTTCCTGTGAGCCTTGAAGGGGACAGGAAGCATAAGGATGAGAAAGAGAAGGAGCAGTAGAGTGGCACAGTGGCCAGCTGGACCCTGCAGGACTGAGTGGAGTGAATCCATGCAGCAGCATGGGGGGAGCTAAGCCAGGTGAAGGTGAGAAGGTGTGAACTGCAGCTGCTCTGCAAAACCACACAGTGGGGTCTGGACAGAACACTCTAGTGGGAAAGTGGATGAAACAGACAGGTGGGGGTGTGTGTGACATAATCAGGGTAAACATGGTGGCCATTTGAAGGATGGACAAACAAGAAAGGCAGGCATTTTAGTTTTAGACCAGGCATGAAAGGAAGCAGTGACAATGAAAAGAAATAAGCAACAGAAGAGACATTCCTGAGGTAGAATCAACTGGACCTGGAGCCAACAGAATACTGGGGATAAAAAGAGGCAGTATAGCCATTTCCTCATCCGTAATTTGGAAATAATGAACAATTGGTTATGAAGATTAAATAAAAATGCTTACCATAGGTTTGGAAGATATGCTAGTAATTGCCAAACTCTGGCCTCTGTGCTGAGTTACAGATTCTCATTTTCCACTGTTTGGGTGTGGATGTCTCTACCTCAAGTCACACATCCAAAATGGCACTCTCCCACACACAGGTCTTCCCCCCGTATTTCCCACATCTGTTAATAGGATCATAACTAGCTCTGTCAACTAATGTCTAGTGTCATTCAGAATCAATGTGGATTCTTAAAGAGCTAAGGAGCCACAGACTACAGACAGTTAACGTGTTGCCTCAGCTGCAAGAGAACCCATGAAATGAGCGCCTGCTATGTACTAGGGAGGCACTGTGGACTCAGCAGTAAGACACCACCTTTGCCCTGGAAGAGGACTCATAGTCTATCGGGAGAGACAAACACAACCAGACAGATGGCTGTGCAGTGCTATACCCCAAAAGGAACGGGCTTCTGTGGGGACAGGAAGAAAGTCAATGCAGGCAACTAGGGAAAGATGGCAGGGAACTCATGGAGGAAAAGAGAAACAAGACAATTTCCAGGAAGCAGGGCTAGCAGTGAGAGACAATGCAGAGCTGAGCAGGAGGAGGAGCAAGCAGCCCCCAGGGCAGGGGAATGACTGCAAGAGCACCCACACCTGATTCACACCATTTGTATAGCACAGAAATCAAGGACCTCTCAAATTACTTTTAAGCCCACTCTTTTCTTATTCAAATGGACCGCTGAGGGTAAATTTAGTCACAAATTGGATTTGGGGAGTTAACACTTAGATCCACCTAAAGATCTTTTTCCTCTGAGTTAAGGGAAAGTGAAAATGGTGAGAAGCCATTCCTTGTCATTTCTGGGAGAGAAGACCCATGATTCAGTAATAACTTCTCCTTATGAAAATAAACACATAAAGATAGCAGCAATATTCATCCTAATTGTCTCATTTGCCCAACTCCAAGACAGCGAGGAGTTCTAGTGCCAAGGTCTGCCAATTTCCCTTTTAAAATGTCTCCCAATTCGTCTACTGCTTTTTCTTTATTGCCTGTATCCTTGGTTCACACCTGACTGTTTCTAGGACTATTGAAATGCTTACTTGTCTCCCTGCCTCCAGTTCCCAGACAACCCTGCCCCACTCTTAAGTACTTCTCCAACACTCCAACCTCCACTCTAATACTAATTATCATCTCAAATCATGAAGTCTGATCATGACAAACATCTAAAAAAAAATGTCTCCTGGGGGTCCATTCTCAAAAGAAAAAAGTCTAATTCAAATACAGTCTTTCACAATCTTCTTCCTTGACACAGGATTATCTTACACCTCTGTGCCTTTGCACATGACATTTCTTCTACCAGGAATGCTCTTTCTTACCTGGAGAAGTCATTTTCATAATTCAAACCCAAGTCCAAATGTCACCTTCCTATAATAGAATCAGCTGGTCCTTCCTACGTACACCAACTGCACTGAACTCTTATTGCTGCCCTCAATATACTGTATCACAATTTGCCTAGTATCTGTCTCCCTGGATAGACTGTGAACATCTCAAAGCCTGGTACCACATACCTTTTATCTTAGTATTCCTAGCACCTGGCACAGAGAGGCAAGCAAAGGGTCAAAAATCTTCCTGTTACCAGGGGGTTCCTTGCAGGGGTTCCTTGCTCCCAGAGCTCCCAAGATGGTGGCAGGCAGCTTCCAAGATGGTGGCAAGCCTCGTGTTCTCTGACCTGGGGTTCTTGGCCTCACAGATTCCAAGGAATGGAGTCTTGGGCCATGCGGTGAGTGTTATAGCTCTATTAGAAGCCATGGGTCACGGAAGAGAACCACGGAACCCAATGACTAGTGTTCAGCTCGATTAGGACGAACCCCGGCACTTAGCCACGCAGGAACAATGGTGAGCCTTTAGCCCGATCGGGGGAGTGGCAATGGGCGCCTGGCTGGATCAGGAGCACAGCAGACACCCTGCTGGATCCGGAGGGATGGAAGTCATCAGCAGGTCTGTGACGGCGGCAAACAGCAGTGGTGGACAGTGAGTGAAAGCTCAGCTCAAGCCGTAACAAACAGGGACCAAAAGAATGTGCAGTTGCAAGATTTAATAGAGTGAAGACAGAGCTCCCATACAAAGGGAGGGGACCCAAAGAGGGTAGCCATTGCCAGCTCGAATGCCTGGGTTTATATCCCGATCATTGTCCCTCCTGCTGTGCTCTCAGGCAATAGATGATTGGCTATTCTTTATCACCTGTTTTTGCCTAATTAGCATTTTAGTGAGCTCTCTCTACTATCTGATTGGTCGGGTGTGAGCTAAGTTGCAAGCCCCATGTTTAAAGGTGGAAGCGGTCACCTTCTCAGCTAGGCTTAGGGATTCTTAGTCGGCCTAGGAAATCTAGCTAGTCCTGTCTCTCATTCCTAAACCAAAAGATAAAATTATTTTTATAATTAAATGTTGGCAATTACAGTAGAATGAAAGATGAAGAAAACTTATAAAGCAGCTTTGGAATACAGTGGAATGTGCAGAGGGTTGGGAGTCAGGCTGGATCAGCCACTTGCCAGCTACTTCAGCAGGAGCAAGTTACTCAACTCACATTACTATGTTCTCATCTTTAACGTGGCAGTAACAATACTTTTAACTGTAGAGAGTAAATATCTTGCCTAGCACAGTGTTTAACAGACAACAGGTTCTTAAGAAAAAGGGTAGCTACTCTGATGGCAGTGATGATGATGAAGCACACTTAGCCGGTGTTGTAGGCAGAATCTGGTGAATGGGCTGCCCAGGTTCATACATGGGCTCCCCCATTCAGGAGCCAAGATGCCTTATGCAAGTTACTTCCTTTTGCTGTACTGAGGATAAAATGGACCTACTACAGAGTTGTTAGAAGAGTTAAATGAGAATGTGCAAGAAAAGCTCTTAGTCAAGTACCATGTTACAATTAAGTTAAAAAAAAAAAAAGGTCTTAGTAAGTATTGCTAGTGATTATTCCCACAGCAGATACTCAATAAATTAGCTGATTTAACAAATATAAGAATGAAAATTAGGGCTGGATGCGGTGGCTCACGCCTGTAATCTCAGCACTTTGGAAGCCTGAGGTGGAAGGATCGCTCGAGCCAAGGAGTTTGAGACCAGCCTGGCCAACCTGGCAAAACCCTGTCTCTACTAAAAATAACAAAAATTAGCTGGGCGTGGTGGCACATGCCTGTAATCCCAGCTACTCAGGAGGCTGAGGCATTAGAATCGCTTGAACCCGGGAGGTGGAGATTGCAGTGAGTAGACATCATGCCACTGCACTCCAGCCTGGGTGACAGAGCAAGGCTCTGTCTCAAAGCAAAAGAAAACAAAACAAACTGCTTAACTCAATCCTTTACTCATTATAAAGTTTCCCAGTTGATTATAAAGGCTAACCAGATAGTCTGGTTGTTGAAGTACTGAATGAAATGGCTCCTAATACCTTTTCAGATTTACATTCCACGATTTCAATATATGAATTCTCCAACTAAGCTGGGCTAGCCCTCAAATTGCCCAGATCATTCCCACCTCCAAGCTTTTGCTCATTGTTCCCTTCTCACCACTTCTGAGATTCTGCCTTCAGGACTTAGTTTAATTCATTTTCCCCAAAGTCTTTGACTATCAGCGCAGCACATACTGACCTCATGTACCTCTCATTTTATACTAAACAATTCCTTCACTTACACATTGGTCAACAAACAGCTGAATAAATGAAGTTCCAAATAGACTGAAAGAACCCAGTTATGCATTTTTTCAAATCCCTTAAAATGCAAATAAATGTCTTTCAAATATTAAACTCAATAAAAATTATAACTATACTTTTACGAATAAATTACAGAGCAAATAACACATTAAAGAAATTTCAGCTGGGCACGGTGGCTCACACCTGTAATCCCAGCACTTTGGGAGGCCAAGGCGGGCGCATCACCTGAGGTCAGGAGTTCGAGACCAGTCTGGCTAACATGTTGAAACCCTGTTTCTACTAAAAATACAAAAAATTAGCCGGGCTTGGTGGCGCAGGCCTATAATCCCAGCTACTCAGGAGGCTGAGGCAGGAGAATCACTGAACCCAGGAGGCGGAGGTTGCAGTGAGCTGAGATTGCGCCATTGCACTCCAGCTTGGGCAACAAGAGCAAAACTCCGTCTCAAAAAAAAAAAAAAGAAATTAAAAAATTTCATCGCTAACATATAGATACATACGTATGTATAATGTATACACTCATACACACACACACATATATATAAAAAACATGAGAATTTACCATTCCTGCAGCTCATGCATATGAAGGAAACGGTTTCGATACTCTCTTGGCAGCTCAAACTGGGAAGGTATGGGGAACATGGATTCATAGAAGTCCCTGAGAACAGCCTTCACTGTCTGGGCATCTTTATGATTGTGGTCAATGTTGTCATTCAGGCAAACAAACTTCCTGAAATAACAGAGAGCCAGGGTTATTAGTTACATACGGATAATCCTGACCTAACAAAACAAGGATGTGGATTCCAAATATATTTTAAATGGACTTATGTCCCAAGTTGGTATATTTGCTGATATGATTCTCTGGGGGAATGATGTTCTATACAGTTTTTCTTTAGATATTCCTCACCTATAAAACAAGAGAACTAGGGTAGATGGCCTTTTAACTATGGGAGTAAATTAATTTAATGACTTCTTTTTGGAGTGTCCTGAATTAATTGTTCAATAAATGTAGTTAATAGAGTGTCCTGAATTAATTGTTCAATAAATGTAGTTAACTGACTAGAATATTTTGTTGGCAGCTAGAAAAGACAATCAGTGGCCAGGCATGGTGGTTCACACCTGTTATCCCAGCACTTTGGGAGGCAGAGGCGGGAAGATCACCTGAGGTCAGGAGTTTGAGACCAGTTTGACCAACATGGCAAAACCCCGTCTCTACTACAAATACAAAAATTAGCCAGATGTGGTGGCATGTGCCTGTAGTCCCAGCTCTTCAGGAAGCTGAGGCAGGAGAATCACTTGAACTTGGGAAGCAGAGGCTGTGGTGAGGCAAAAAAAAAGACAATCCATAAGTACCTAAAACCAAGTTCTCTGAAGGCCACGCGTGGTGGCTCATGCCTGTAATCCCAGCACCTTGGGAGATCAAGGTAGGCTGATCACTTGAGGTCAGAAATTTGAGACCAGCCTGGCCAACAGGGTGAAACCCCGTCTCTACTAAAAATACAAAAAAATTAGCCGGGCGTGGTGGCGTGCCTGTAATCCCAGCTACTCAAAAGAATGAGGCACGAGAATTGCTTAACTCGGGAGGCAGAGGTTGCAGTGAGCAATCTTTAGATTGCACCATTGCACTCCAGCCTGGATGACAGAGTGAGACTGTCTCAGAAAGATTAAAAAAAAAAAAAATCAAAACTAAGTTCTCTGAACTGATAGTTATATTACAAAGAAAAATCATGTAAATGATTGAGAGAGACAGACAGTGCCTTATAGCTACAGATTCTATGAATTTGATAATTTCTGCTTACTATGTCTCTAACCAAGTTGTAAGATGCTAGAGTTCTGGCAAAAAAGCAGATTACAGTGGTGCTTCCTTGCTTATTTCAAGTTCCTTTCAAGGCAAAGGTCACTAAACTGAGGGCCCATTAAAATGGCTTGTAGGTATGCCAACACTTTTGAAGTAGATTCACCAAAAAAAATCAAACAAACCTGATAAAGCCTTCAGATCCAACTACCAATTTATGGGAAATACAAGAGACATAGAAACATGTTAAACAACTAGGATTCAATCAGAGAAGGACAAAGTGTAAGATAGCTATAGAATCTATAATCAGACTTCTTCATATACACATGCAAAAAATTATATGGTTAAAAAAAGAGAGATGGAGGGAAAACCCATAGATTTAACTTCAAACCAACAAACTTAAAAACCAAAAAACACATAAGTCCTTATGAAAGTTAAGAGGAGTGAAAGGTGTACATTGACAAAGTAGTTGGTCATATTAAGGAATCGTTATTGATTTTTTTAGGGTGATAATGGTATTGTGGTTATATATACAAAAAATATGGAGCTAAAATGATACAATGTTTGAGATTCACTTAATATTAATCAGGTAGCAGTGATGGAGTGGGTGTGTTTAGATGAAACAAGGTTAAATATAAACGGAAGTAAATAAATGTAAATCACTTGTCTTCCTTCTGAAGAAGGATTCGATCAGGATTCAATCTTTCTGAAGAAGGAAGACAAGTGACAGGTATGTGCGAGCTCACTAATCTTTCTCTAAACCTGGAGACTGCTTTAAATTAAAGGATACGAAAGAGCTATGTCAACCTAATATAATATATGAGCCTTGGCTGTATCTTGGATTTAAAAACAAACAAAAGAGGCAGACAACAGCTATCAAGGGCATTTGGAGGCAACTGGGGAAATGTGAAGACAGGCTATTAGATGGTATTATTTAATCAATGGTAAAGTTCTTGAATGTGTTAATGGTCTATGGCCTGATGATGAAGCCAACACAAGCAGAGCTAAGAAAATCAAAGAAAAACAAAGCCTGGATATTGTCTATCCCAGACTCCTTGTTAACGGGATAAACATGTCCTTCGAGCTGAAGTCAGTCTGAAGTCTAGTTTTCCACACCTGACTTAAAATAAGCCTTCATTAAAGTAAAACAAAACAACATAAACAAGAGTTAATGATAAAATCTGTTCAGGTACACACATAGCAGCTGGGCCTGGCAAACTGTGGAAAAAGCCTGGCTTGCCATGTGTCTTTCTACTAAACCCCTGTCCCTCTAAGTACCATGAAAATGTCTATGAATACTCTAACCCAGTAACTTTCAAATTGGCACAAAGACCTAAAAGTATTGGCTACAACTAAAAACTGCAAATTCTCACATTATTACTACTCATGAATGAGACAGCTCATCAAGAAAATAGGGGGAAGTCTGTACTCCCATCAAAATTGGTTCTTAAAAGCTAAAGTTATTTTAAGAAATTGAAACAGTACACTTCAAGTGCAGGGAACAGCATATGCAAAGAGGGCTGTATGCTGGCTAATTATTATTGTACCTTATGGTTTGGTTGGCTTGTGGGAAACATTTTGTAAAAAATCAAGTATATTACTGGATTACTGAAGACACTAAATGGGTGTTAAAGATATTTTTACTTTTTTGAAAATTCCAATTTCTTTCTCCTCCAAACGAGAACAGGATTTGTAGAAAAAATATAACGGCTTTAAAATGCCTATAAGGTTCACATCTTTGATCATTTGTAATTAGAATCCTAATTTCAGCGAGGTAAAACTGAAGACCTCCTAATGCATTTAAAAGACTCAGAAATTAAAAATACTCAATTTTAGCTGGGTGCAGCAGCTCATGCCTGTGGTTCCAGCTACTCAGGAGGCTGAAGTGGGAGGATTGCTCGAGCCCAGGAGGTGGAGGCTACAGTGAGCCGTGTTTGCATTACTGCACTCCAGCTTGGGCAACAGAGTGAGATCCTATCTCAAAAATATATAGTTTATATGCCAGTGTCTTTATTTTCCAAAGAAGTTGATGAAACACCTATTTCCCACTAAAGTTAAAAACTCAAAAATGCATATTTTTAGCACATTTTATCAAACCTGCTAAAGTAACAGTTAAGGGGCTGGTAAAGAAATTGTTAAGGCTTAGGTAAACCTGAAAATTTATTCATCCCCAAAGGATGGCTGGAGTATACTGGATTAATGTTCCCATTTATGGTAGCATTCCGTTTTCCTCAAAAGCTAATCTGAACTTTACTTTGAATTGCTAAGATAAATCTAACCATCTAAACAACTGTTCTGGAAGCACCTTTTTAGAAATGCCACAATTCTAAAAAGGCATTTCTAGAATGTCCCAGCTGCCTGGCCTCACCTCCCCACAATGAGATCTGCCCCAGCTCTCCCTGAACAGCTTGTTATTAACAGAACCCAGTTCTTAGAAGTTCAGGCTCATCCCTTTGCATGGGGGACCCCACCTCAACTTGCAACTCCTATCTCTCACTCAACCCCCAACACTGCCTCCACTGTTCGGCCTTTTGGTATGTTCCATACAGAAATAAGCTACTCCCTTCTCTCCAGTCCTGCTGCCTTTTATTCAGGTTTATTTGCATAATTAAAAATTATATATAAAAATCAATACCTAGGGTTTTTTCTTATGTCATCCAACTGGCCAACCACATGAGAAACGTTGGTACGAATCATTTTAAAAGCGATTTCTTCTTCTCCCATGATTTCAAACCTAATTATCAAACATATTTGAAGAGTTTAAATAATTACATGGATATAAAAAATAAAACTTCAATAGAAAATACATTTTTAAAAACTGTAGTGGACTCAACATCCACAGGAATAACTTAAACTTTTAATACTACTACAGCAAACAATCTCATATAAATTTTAGAAGAGTGCTTAACAGACAAAATATTGTAGATTTATGAAAAAGCCAGACTTTTGTAACTACTCTTATACTAAACAAATGGAATATGTGTGTACTACTTACCTATATTTGTTTTTGTCCTTATATGCTTTGTGGATTTTGTCAGTTACTGGTTTACAGTTTGTTACTAGACTTTTAGTGACCGGTGGCTATGAGAAAACATAAGTAGATCAGATATCACATCAGAGCTGAAAGTAGGGCAATTTAGTCCTAAGTTCTGATTTTTAAAACTTTGATTCTATTCTCTTCGGAAGTAAGAAAAACACCAACTGTGACTACATATACATCTTTTTCATCTTTAAGAACACATTGGCAAACAATTACTACGATTTATATAATAGAGAGTTTATAATGCATTTTTCACAAACAAACCTGAAGTACTTTATCCTACTGGATCATGCCAAAAACCCAAAAGAAACTGAAGTACATAGACAAGCTGCTCCTCTGTTATTAGCTTGACTGCATACCAGCTCTACATGAGGCATCTGGTGAATTCCCAACCCACAAGTAGTCTCATAGTCTCATTCTTTTTTTTTTTTTTTTTGGAGACGGAGTCTCACTCTATTGCCCAGGCTGGAGTGCAGTGGCGCGATCTCAGCTCACCGCAACTTCCACCTCTCGGGTTCAAGTGATTCTCCTGTCTCAACCTCCTGAGAAGCTGGGATTACAGGAACCTGCCACCACACCCAACTCATTTTTGTATTTTTAGAAGATATGGGGTTTCACCATGTTGGCCAGGCTAGTCTCGAACTCCTGACCTCAAGTGATCCGCCCGCCTTGGCCTCCCAAAGTGGTGGGATTACAGGCATGAGCCATCATGCCCGGCTGATTTTTGTATTTTTTAGTATAGATGGGGTTTCACCATGTTGGCCAGGCTGGTCTTGAACTCCTGCCCTCAGGTGATCCACCCACCTGGGCCTCCCAAAGTGCTGAGATTATAGGCATGTGCCACCGTGCCCAGCCCTAGTCTCATTCTTGACCTGCTGATTCCTATCTGTTAATCTCACTAGAGCAAATTCCTTTAGGGCTGATACCAGGTCTTTACTCCTCTATTTATCTCAACTTTATTAATTTAGTAATGTTAAGTCTTAGCACATTTAGAGAATTGGCTTTTAAGTGGCACATATCTATATACTAACCCATGCCATATGCTAAATTAATCTACATGTGATAGGCAATACTCATACTGTATGCTCTGATGGCTGCTATGCTGACCTCTTTCACCAATGGCTGCCACTTTTCACACTACGTCCCCTCATGAGGGAGGAGGTGTCCTATCTGCAGTCATTATTTATACATGGCTTGAAGATTTGCAAGATAGTAATTTTTTTAAATACCATTTTATTCTGATTATGAAAGCAAAATCTACTCATTATAGAAAACGTGAAAAATTCTAGTGTACAAAAAGGATATTAAAAACTACCTGTGATTTAACCTACTGTCATTTCTGTTGTCTTTTGGGGTATGTGTGTTGTATATGTACTTGCGGGATTTCTACAGTTCAAATCATACTGTCTATATGATAGTACCCATTATTTCCCCCACCTAATTATATAAGAATTTTTCCATTTATCAGTAAAAAATTAACAGAAAATATCTAATGGCTGTATTATATTCATTTCATCAATTCTACGATTTTCTTCACATTTTAACTTCTCTGAAACTAAAATGTCTCTCATAATCTACAGTCTTCCAATTATTTCAGCTAAATGATATCCCAATGTAGTTGTGTGTTAGTCACCCACTGCCCCTACTGGTAAAATGGAGTAAGTGCCAGCATTAAAGCAATTGAGCTTTGATGAACGATGACATTCCATGTGATGAATATTTTCTTGATTGTTAAACCTCAGGATTGTTCTCTCTGGCCAATGAGAACAATCTGGGGCTATTTTCTGTCACCCTCAGCGAACAGGACATCTGTTTATGGAATACAAGCAACAAATCCAAATTACGCATCTATGGGGTGAACAGGAAGATTCCAAAGCAAGCTATGAATGATTCTGGATTACCTGTGCTACTATTTTGCAACAAAGCCATATAAAACCATAGAGCCTGCTTCTAGTTCTGAAGTGCTATACAGAAATGCTGTAAATAACACTTGATAAGGATGTACTTTCTGTTGTACATAAAAGTAACCCATTCCACTTACCAGATTGGGATCATAGTAGGCTTCCTGAGTTGGTGGAATATTATTTAGCTGAGTGATATCAGCAGGCAGCATTTTTGAGCAATTTATTAGCATGTGTTCCAGACCTGTCAAATCCTAACAAAGAAAAAGAAGAAGATAAACCTGTTATGTGCATTGTAAGTAATGACTGTGGTTTTAAAAATAAAAATTAAGTGAAAGCTTCCAAAAATGGTTTAAATGCTATCTTCAAAGAGAGTCTGACTACATGATTCTTAAGATAAAGGCACTCTAAGAGAAGCAGAATGAGACAATGCCAACACAAATATTTCATCTTCATCTCAAAGAACGTTCTGGCCTCTGAGATACCCATTTACACAAGGTGGTCCAAGGCTCAGGAGAAATCATGCCCTGCAGCTAGATTCATCTGGGCACCTCCATTAGTTAGTTTCCTACTCCTGGGACTAGAGGATGCCATGAAGGAAGGGCCTGGCTGAGCTCTCTGGTTAGCCACATCTGAAGTCCTAGAATGGATATACCACAAGAATCTTATATGCAGGTATGGTCTGGCTCTTTTCCAGACAATCAAGATCAATCTCTACTGAAAAACCTACAAAAAGTAATTTCATAAAATACGAACCTCAAATTTGGTTATAATTCTGGCACTAAAACAGACTAGTTATGAATACCCACAGTAAATATTAAGAGTTATTTTTACTTGCAATAAATTATGTAGGGGAAAAAGAGACATGGTCAGAATTAAAATTTTCTCTTTGTTTTGAGACAGAGTCTGACTCTGTTGCCCAGCCTGGAGTACAGTGGCACGATCTTGGCTCACTGCAACCTCCACCTCCCCAGGTTGAAGCGGTTCTCCTATTTCAGCCTTCCAAGTAGCTGGAATGACAGGTGCATGCCACCATGTCTGGCTAATTTTTTGTATTTTTAGTAGAGACGGGGTTTCACTGTGTCGCCCAGGTTGGTCTTGAACTCCTGAGCTCAGCCGACTAGGCCTCCCAAAGTGCTGGGATTACAGGTGTGAGCCACCGTGCCTGACCAGAATTAAAATTCTCATTTAAAACATCAAAAAGTTTAGAATAAGACAATACGACACCTGCAAACTTAATGGCAGTTCGTGAATTCTGGTAGCCAGTGTTCGGATTTCTCTGTCAGACAAGACACCAGATTGGTCTGTATCAACTTCATCAAAGACTTGAGATATATTCAGTGGCTGAACTGCACTCATGAGATAGTAAAAATAAGAGAAGGCAAACTGCATATCCTCAGAATGGCGCACTTTGTGAAATGACGTCTTGTCAAATTCTTCAGGGAACCTGTCCAAATATAACATATTACAAACTCTGGATATTCAAAGTATGTACCGTATCTAACATTTGCAGAGATGGACTTTTTTCTTTCGCACTTAGATCATACCTTTAACATATTAGTCATCAAATATTAGAGCCATAAATTTAGTATGGTAAATATGCAAACTTCAAGTAGCCTTAGTTCTGAACACAAGCCAACAACTCAAACACGAGGAAGACTTACATATCTTGCAGCTCTTGCATAACAATCCGGTCAATCATGTGAGGCATGTGAGCGGGGACTTTCCGTGATGTGAATCCAAACTTGCTATTTAGAATTTTATTTACATATCTGAGGGAATCTGCAAACGTATCTTTCAGTTGCCTCCCAGTATTTTTGCTATCAGTGAAGTATGCCAATTGTGTCTTCAATGACTCTTCTTCCTGAAAAGAGAATTCTACATGTAACTCAGCATTATGTTTAGTGCACAAGTATACTTTGTTACAAGACATTTTATATAATGTGGTAATAACTAGTCACGAACTCTCCATTAGGAGCAAATGCAATGCATGTTAACAAGTCACTTTAAGGATCTAAACTGGATTTAGCAGGACTCAACTGGATTTCAGTGCAAGTATCACCAATATTGGTTTGAGAACAACAGCTGTATGAGGGAGATCTACGTAACAACAGTCACATATGGAGGATATTCTTCAAGGACTGGTCATTGTGAGATTTCAAAGCCAATTCAATGCAACATTTAGAAAATTTATTTACATATAAATTTGATAGTACTTTCAGTAACAAGCTAATTCTGCAGATGATATCAAATGTGCAAGTCCTTGAGTTGTAAGCACAAGGACTAGAAAAAAATTTGGTTTCATCGTATAATAGTTTTAATATTATAAAATCAAAACCAGTTAAGTGGCAGAACTAAATAGGCAAAGAAAATTGGTAAAGCATTCAAATACTTTACAGAAATACTTTTGCTTCTCAAACTGATAAAAATGTAAGGAGACTGATATTAACTGGTGTTGGTTAGACTGCAGTGAAGCAAGCACTCCTGTATACTTTTTGTGGAAATATGAAGTGGTACAACATTTCAGAAAGACATATTTAAAGTTTATATCTGCTAACCTAGTAATCCTAGCCACAGAACTAAAACTCACTGAAGTGTAAGATATATGTACAAGAGTATTCACTGCAACACTATTTGTAATCACAAAACATTGGAAATAACTAACCTGCAGCTATTAAAAAGAATAATGGCATTGGCATGGGTATAAATAAATTAATAACAGCATTTGCCCACATACTACAACTGCAGGGAAATACATGTAAATTTACACTATATATATATATATTTCTCTCTATATAACCATACATACATATAGGTATGTTTGCATAGCTATAGAAAGATACTGGAAGAATACCCATCAAAGTATTAACAGTGATTATCTCCAGGAGGGAGACTGAAAAAGGAAGAACTTCCCTTTTTTTACTGTATTTTTTTGAATTGCTTGCAATTTTTACTACTAACCTATAATGCTTCTGTAAATTAAAAAAAAAAAAAAAAAGGAAAGAAGCCAGGCATGGTGGCTCACGCCTGTAGTCCTAGCACTTTGGGAGGCCAAGACGGGCGGATCACCTGAAATCAGGAGTTCAAGACGAGCCTGGCTAACATGGTGAAACCCCGTCTCCACTAAAAATACAAAAAATTAGCTGGGCGTGCTGGCATGCGCCTGTAATCCCAGCCACTCAGGAGGCTGAGGCAGGAGAATCGCTTGAACCTAGGAGGCAGAGATTGCAGTGAGCCGAGATCACGCCATTGCACCACTCCAGCTTGGGAAAAAGAGCGAAACTCCATCTCAAAAAAAAAAAAAAAGGAAAGGAAAGACAACGGGGAAACTGAGGAAATAAACATCGTCAAGAACACTGCAGTCCTTCATTAGATCTGTAAATGCCTCATGTGCAAGGCACAAGATACTTCCTAAAATGCTGAGGACATAGTTCCTCCTTCCCCCTCTTTTCTCCCAGTCTTACACCCACTCGTGGCTGTGTGCCTTCACTATCCAGCCTAGACTGTGTATTTTTGTCTTGGTCTGTCAACTCCCACCTCTCCTGTATGCCTTCCTAGTACTTCTAGGCAGAGCTAAGGAGTCCTCCCCTCCGGATTTTTTGCCCATATCTCAACACAAACACACCTCTTTGTTATCTCCCCACAAATTTGTCTTCTCTACTGGTCCCTGAGCTTCCATGAGCAGTGGCTATGTTCCTGTCATCTTGCATTCCCCCGTGGTTAGCACCGTGAGAGCACTGAGGAGAGGTACAGATGACACCACAGCACAGTGGGGCCATGGTACAGGGGACGAGCACTCCAACTTTGAGGCTTGGCTCACACTGGTTTGCTGTTATAATGTTGGGGAAGCGAATGAACTTAATTGAACTCCAGGGTTTTTTCATCAGTAGAGCTGGAGAAATACCAGATCTGAAATGTCAAGACAAGACAACATACCACTTCCCGCTCTCCTTCCTCGAAGTATGCCCCTGGCTAAATCCCTTACTCATTCACACTTGGGCTGTTTCCTAAACTACAAAATGTGGATAACAATAATAAATACCTTCATGTGGCATTTTTTATTATTAGGGTTATTGGGCAAATTAAATGAAACCACATAAGAAAAGCATTTAGTTCCGTGGCCGGCACAAGGAAGTGCTGAATAAATGGTAGCTATAATGATATTATCACGAGATTTATTTACCCTTCCTGAGCATGAGAAAGAATGAGGCTGGATGGAACTTACATCAAGAAGATCTTGGAAATACTTTTTTTTCTCCCATGGCAAAAATCCCAAGTAACTCTCCGTGTAATGCTGCAGCTTTCTTCCAAGTAACACTTCAGTAACGCCTATGTGATTTTCGGCATTTTCCTCCATTCTGTTGTTCTCTTTTTCTTTCCCTGTGATTTTCTTTTCTTTTGTCATCTGGCTTGCCAGTGGAACAATCAGAGATGAGAGCTTTTCTTTTGTCACATTTCCACCTACAGTTTTTTGGGTGTGAGTTTCCGATCTAAATCTTGCTGTGGTCTCCAAGTCCAGGGGTAGATTCTGACCCTGGTCATGACCATTCACTTTTACACTCACTGCAGGAAAAGTCAACCTCTGTAATCTTTCAGACACTCCTAAGCTGTTTGGCAAGATGCTTTTATGAACCTGTTTTTCCTGTGGAGTCACCAAACTGTCATTTGTTTCATCTGTTATTATAGCTTGATTTTTTACTTTAGCATGCTGTGAGTTCATCAGAAATGATCTCAGCAAGGCTGACTTGGACAAATTGTATCCTTTCAAAGTGATGTCTCCATGTTCCAGTTGCAAATCCAATTTATTGAGACTTAACTGGGCCTCTTTTGGAAGGAGTGAAATATTTACCAGGGGAATTTTCACCTCTTCCTGGGCTCTCCTGGTTGAGTTAACATCGTGTCTCCTGAACTTCGGGAAGCGCTTTTCTTTGGGAATATCCTCAAAAAGGATTTCCGCCTCCGGAAGAAGTGTTGTGGGACTAACTAAATTTTCGTAACCTTTCTGGGCCGTGGAATTCAGTTTTGGTCCCTCCCTTGTGTCCACCTCCACTGTTATCTGGATTTTGAACTCTTCGTCATTTCTATTTTGAAATGTGAGATTAAAATGTATTGTGGTGGCATTCATTCCGCTGTGCATTATGAGGTGGATGGTTTTCCACTTGTTGGCAATAGAAGCATGTCGAATTATTGGATTGTCACTATAGGCACCTTCAACTCCTCTTTTGGCTATTTCTGCAAAGCTGAAATAAGGCAGGCATTCACCTTTTGGAATAATATAGTGAGTCTGGTTTGGGAGAAGGGTCACTTTATACAATTCATGAAAATGATCTAGAGGAAAAAACAGAAACATGATTTTTTTTAAAAACTAGGCATTTTTCCTCTGTTTTCCTTTAATTCTTTGGGTCTGAGTTTTCACTTTCTTTAAAAAAAAATAATAGGGAATGCATCACAAATTTGCACGTCATCCTTGTGCAGGGGCCATACTCACGCCTAAACTGTTCTAATTTTAGTATATGTGCTGCTGAAGTAAGCACTGAGTTTTCACTTTCTAAGAGTGACTTTAATTTCAAAATAATTAGATATCCTAATACAACAGTTACTGGTACAGGGCTCATTTCACTATCTGAGGCAGTCACAATAATTACCATGAAATAGTGATCCTGACTCACTACAGAGATATGGCATGATTCTTAACAATAAATTACAATAATCAATTTCCATGTTTTTATCCATTTGAAAAAAACTTTCTGCCAAAACAAATTCCATTTATATGTTACCAACAAAATCCAGGATTTGAACCATCTTTATTTAATGAATTATTGATGGATATCAATAATTTTTTGTTTCCAAATTAAAACTTCACCACATATTTTCAGCTAAGGTAAATCTGCTTGGTCAAAACAAAACAAAACAAAACACCAGACTGCAACAATAACACTAAAGAAATAACACTCTTTAGTGATTTCTGTTGTTCTCTTACTTTTATAACAAGTCTGAATGTAAGGCTGGAAAAAGGATACACAGATAATCATTATTGTAAATAACAAAAGCCATTCAAAACTCTACCTGTCAAGAACTTTTTATCCTCCTATTCTTGTTTGTTTGGCAGTAAACATACCTTGCCCACAGTCGCCAGCATCAAACCCACAGGACAAGACATTGCACGCTTGGTCACAGAACTTATCAGCAAGCCAGGAATTTGCACATCCCTGATTACAGTAAGAGACACTGTTTATTCCTCCACCAAACTGCCAGGGCTGTCCAACTCCAATACTCCCAGTACCTCCACCTCCTGCAATATAGCGACTCCCTCCACTGTTACCTGTAGAGCGGAGGAAGAAGAGGGAATCTTGCTGTAATTACAATTTTGAAAGGCAGTTCTGAACTGGGCACGGTGGCTCACGCCTGTATTCTCAACACTTTGGGAGGCCAAGGCGGCTGGATCACCTGAGGTCAGGAGTTTGAGACCAGCCTGGTCAACATGGTAAACCCCATCTCTGCTAAAAACACAAAAATTAGCTGGGCGTGGTGGTGGGCACCTGTAATCCCAACTACTTGGGAGGCTGAGGCGGGAGAATTGCTCGAACCCAGGAGGTGGAGGTTGCAGTGAATCAAGATTACTCCACTGCACTCCAGCCTCGGCAACAAGATTGAAACTCCATCTCAAAAAACAAACAAAAAAGACAGTTCCTTATTTCATATTAATGTTTTCAAGGTTGATGTGTAAGTTTTAGTCAGAAAAGGTTCACCTCATTCTTTAGTAAAAGATTTCATGTACCTTAAGAAGAAAATAAACTGAAAAGGCAGTCACTTGACAGAAGTGTAATGAACAGGCCCTAGCATTTTGTAGCTATGCAACCTATAAGTACAGGCCTTACATTTGCTCAAGCGGCACATGCTGACAGAAATGGAGGAGCACGAAAACAAAAAGAGATTATTCCAAAGACTGTGACTATCAGAACTGCCAAAAACTTGTCCAAATGTGGGTATCGTGTTTGATACCCCTTGTTATCAAATGCTAATGTTCTAGTAGAGACTGACTTCTCTGGTCTACACAGATCTACTTTGCACATCTGTATTCTCTCCCCACAGTTAAAGAGCATCTGACATATCTGACTGAAATACAACTTGAAGCTTTGTTTTCTCCAATATGCAAACATTTCCAAATCCGTTTCTTCATATGGAAATGGGGATGATAACATTTGTGTACATACTCACTCTCAGGTGACAAACAAAATTCAAGTGAATATAATGAATAATGCTGTATACATTTAATGCTTTATAATTGAAAGGCAGTAAGTAAATGTAACAAATTGCTATTATCAGTAAGTCAAAATATAAGTATGTGAGGGAGGGAGAAGAGTTGCTGAGGAAAATACTTATTTCTTTTGCAACTCTTTAGTCATTCTGTAACCTATCATAATCTGCTGCTGACGGCAACCAGCAGTGAGCTCCTATAAGAACCAGTGAGAGTGATGCTTGCTCTTGGGTTTATAGAACTAAGTATATTCCAGATTTTCATATTTTAAATAAGATGACATTTTCAAGTGTATTTTCTCTTGTTCAATGCCCTCAACAACGAATAAACTGGGCCACATGGGAGCACTAATTACCACCTCCAAAGAGTGTACTGATTACTGATATATATATATATATATATATACACACACACATACACACACACACATTCATATATATATATTTTTTTTGAGACAGGGTGTCACTCTGCCGCCCAGGTTGGAGTACAGAGGCACAATCACAGCTCACGGCAGCCTCGGACTCCTAGGCTCAAGTGATCCTCCTGCCTTAGCCTCCCAAGCACCTAGGACTACAGGTGTGCACCACCACACTTGGCTAATTTTTTTTGATAGAGATGGGGTCTTACTATGTTGCCCAGGCTGGTCTTAAACTCCTGGCCTCAAGCAATCCTCCCAGCTCAGCTTTGCAAAGCACTGGATTATAAGCTTGAGTCACCATGTCCAGCATTACTGATTCTTTATTAATACATAAAGAATGTTTGGTTACATCTATAGTACATGTTCAATAATGATTAAGAAGAAAATATTCCATAAAAATGAACGAACGACAGTTTAACACATCCTTACCAGAGCAATCGCCACCATCCCAATCGCAGGCTGAATTATTACAAGCCTTGTCACAATAGCCATCTTTAATCCAGGAACCGGGGCAGCCCTCGGCACAGTTTGGCACAGGCCACGTCAAATAAACCTACGATAAAACCAAAGAGAAAATAAAATGACTTCTGGCTTCTGATACGTTTTATTCTTAAGATTCCCTTTATAAAAAGAAATTAAGTCTCTAGAAAGATTAAAATTTTCAAAGGGCTGAGTGTTCACACTCACAAGCGCTTTAAGTTTGCCTGTACCTATAGTTATTGTTTAGATCCTGCTGTGTTGACCATTCTTACTGAGCATATTTACTTTTTTCCATTACTCAAGGAAAGCAGACAAGGATTCAACTCATGGATTAGCCTCTCACAACATGCTTTGATAATCTACTGTGAAATAAAGTAACACCATGCCAGACTTGACTGCAAGTACCGAAGCATGTCAAAGCTGGTGGGAAGTATGCACGGTCACTGCTTTTCTGCAACAACTATCAGTAGCTCATCAGTGTATTTGTGCATAATCTTGTCTCAAGGCTGAGAGACAATATCCTCTATCTTCATGCATAAGGCCCTGTGATAAATTAATCGGCACAGCATTCTGAGCTGTGCATTCACCTGCTCTAAAAATGAGTGATGGGGTACATGGTTACTTTTTAAATTCAAAATCATTGAAAAAAAATACACTCCTCTTTAAAAATCTCTGTGCCTTTGCATATTCTGTCTAATTGGAATATCTTTTTTCACCTAAACTAACTCTTACTTGTTCTTCAAAGTACGTGTCAATTCGGATGGGCATTCTTCCTATCCCATCTGATTTAAGCCTCCTATGCTCACATGCCTCAGCACCAAGGCACACCTGTCAGCAGGAAAAGCACTGCACAGTCATTGATCTTGTGTTTGTCCCCTTGTTAAGCCACAAGCTCCCCTTTTAGCCCTATAATCTGATACAGAGGAGACAGGTCAATAGGGGAACAGGAGAATGGGCCTGGTTGGGTAGCATAAACAATAACAGACAAAGTAGTTTTGTTATTAGCACTTAGTTGCAGAGTTTTATAACTTATAAGTTTACGGTGATAAGTCTCTAACTGATCACTGAACCCTTCCAACAATGCTACAAGGGTTTTTGTACTTTCCACACTATGCAGACAGAAAACACAGAAGTAGAGCCACTGCCCAAGGTCATCCTGAAGAGTTGGCCCCCAAGTCTGCACTCTTAACCACTTCTCCATCCCACCTCTCAACAAAGTTAGAGCGCAACAGGCTGCCTTAAATGAAATTTCATCTATAGCTTTCAGCACTAACTTGAGTTAACTTTCTATTTTGGCCCTTTTGCTGACATTCTAAACATGATTTTCTGTTTCACAGTGATTTTGCTTTTTCTGCTATCGTAGTAGTAGAAAATTTAGATGGTCAGGGAAAAGTGAGGATCCTGGGTGTCTAAGAATGTAGCAAAGCAAATTTCTAACTGTAGTGTTCTTCTTAATTGTTGACTTCTGAGCTTAGCACTCAAAAATGATTATTTGATCATATATATATATATATATTTTTTATTTTATTTTTCAAGATCAGGTTCTCACTCTGTCACCCAAGCTGGGGTGCAGTGGTACAATCACAGCTCACTGCAGCCTCAACATTCAGGCTAAAGTAATCTTCTCATCTTGGCCAGTGAGCCCCCACTCCCCCGACTGGCCCCCAACACCCAAGTAGCTGAGACTACATGAGTATTCCACTGGGCCCAAATAATTGTTTTACTTTTTGTAAAGTAAAACAATTATTTGTCTCCCTGTGCTTCCCAAGCTGGTCTCAAACTCCTAGGGTCAAGTGATCCACCCACCTCTGCCTCCCAAAGTACTGGGATTACAGGTGTAAGCCACCGTGCCTGGCCTGTGTGATATTTGACTATAGTAGTATGTGCACTGATTTTCTGATTTGCTAAGTGACTTCCACACTAGACATCCCCCCTCCTCTTAGGCACTCACCTTTTGGCCTTTGGAGTGACTGTAAAAATCATCTGGCCAGACATCCTTCCCAAACATGACATCATCATTTAGGTAAATAAACTTCTGGGACAGCCCTTCGATGCGATGAATGTGACTTTCAATAGCAGGTGAACTAAAGGTAGGCAAGTGGCTCAAATTTCGAAAAACATCCTTTTAACAACAGCAAACAAAAAAAGAGAGTGAATGAGAGCTGTTTGGGTTTGGTTTAGTTTTTGAAAGGAAGGAAGGGAAGGCAATGAAGAGCTAAAGAAAGGCAGAAATGAAGGTAGAAGGGTACGGAGAATGAAATTATGGAAATCCCTGTACCACACTAAAGGAGCAGAATTAGAAACCACAGTCTCGTAATTTTTAGAAAGTCTTGTACCTGGTGTGTTACTATTGTCACTCGAGGATTGTCAAGGTTCAGCCAGGATGGAATCTGCCCGTTGGTGACAATGAAAATATTCCGAACCCATGGTGCATGCTTCTCAATAGATCGCAGTGAGTACCTCAGTTCTTCGTTATCTTCAAAACGACTGGCAGAGATGTCTTCATCCTGCTTAGACTGAGAAAAACCCTTGGCACATGAAGATGTGAAATACCCCTTAAGTCACACCTCCTCCTCTTTGTCCCTTCCTTCTGCCCCATCTGCTCTCAAGGTGCTCTGGCAGACTTTTAACAATGGAGTCTTAATTTTAAACATTACAAAAAATGCAGAAGATCAGTATATATATTTTTAAACCCAAAATTCAAACAGACAGCATTTCTCTAACACACTTTATAAAAAAGGTTATTGGATCTGATTCTAGGTCACTTCAGTTAATACCAAACCAACGGCAGTGACTGGAAAATTAGAAAAGTTCCAATCAACTCACCTCTCTGTAAGTCCCCTTTCCTCTTCTAATACAGTAACTTACACATTTTTAACATCCTAACTCTTGATTTGGGTTATAAAAGCTTCTGTGCATCCCTTACCTGGCTGATAGCACTCAGATCCCATAATAAATATGCAGGACTTATGGTCAGTTCTTTTCCATCAATGGTCATGTTCTTCTTAGTTTGCTTGTTCAATTCTTGAAAATCCTTGGGGTTATTCAGTTTCAGAAGTGCTACACTGGCCTCTGAATACAACTGCAACTATCAAATAACAAGAGGATTACACATGAAAAGACTGAGTCTCAAGGATGAGGCACCTTCAAATTCCCAGTCTGCTCTTTAATCTTTCTTTTTTTTTTTTTTTTTGAGACGGAGTCTCGCGCTGTCACCCAGGCTGGAGTGCAGTGGCCGGATCTCAGCTCACTGCAAGCTCCGCCTCCCGGGTTCACACCATTCTCCTGCCTCAGCCTCCCGAGTAGCTGGGACTACAGGCGCCCGCCACCTCACCCGGCTAATTTTTTGTATTTTTTAGTAGAGACGGGGTTTCACCGTGTTAACCAGCATGGTCTCGATCTCCTGACCTCGTGATCCGCCCGTCTCGGCCTCCCAAAGTGCTGGGATTACAGGCTTGAGCCACCACGCCCGGCCTTTTTTTTTTTTTTTTTGAGATAGAGTCTCGCTCTGTCGCCAGGCTGGAGCACAGTGGCGCGATCTTGGCTCACCTCAACCTCCGCCTCCAGGGTTCAAACGATTCTCCTTCCTCAGCCTCCCAAGTAGCTGGGACTACAGGAATGCATCACCACGGCCAGCTGATTTTTGTATTTTTAGTAGAGACAGGGTTTCACCATGTTGGCCAGGCTGGTCTCCACCTCCTGACCTCAGGTGATCCGCCTGCCTTGGCCTCCCAAAGTGCTGGGATAACAGGCGTGAGCCACCACAACCACCCTGATCTTTAATCTTGAAATGGTAAGACAATATCAAAACACAACAAAAAGACCTACACAGACCAGATGCATTTCCCAAATGAATGTTAACAAAACAGGCATCTAAAAATAAGAAGGAGTGGTAAAGGCAGTGGCAAACTCGACACCTCAGAGCCATCTGAAAGCTGCAACCACTCAGTGGCACCAAGTGCTGCCAGTCTCCTCAGAGGCAAGAATCCCCAACTGCTGTATGAAATCTCCCCAATTTTTCAATGTTGGCTCAAATGATTTTTGACTTCTTTGCAAATATGCCTGCTGGCCAACAGTTTTGTGACTTTTCTTCTAGAATATTATCAATCTGCTTATATTGGGCTTAAAACCTGCAATGTAATTAACCTTGCTGGAATTGGTGACAAGCACATCTGCTAGTCGGGTGTCTGAACAGCTTTTGTGCCACATGCCCGGGAGGAGCATCTTCGGCAGGGCTGCCTGAAGTGCTTCCATGGGAAAACTAGCTTTCGGAGCAAAGCTTTTGGGGCAATCATAAATCTAAGAGTGAACATCACAAACATCAAGTTCTACAAACAGGCTTTGCCACCCCTACCAAAGTCCACACCACGCTTTATCTGTTGTCTGTTCTGACTCTGTATCACGCAACTTCCTACGAAGAGGCTTTCATCACTCAGGAAAAGTGGAGAGGCCTGAAAACCACAAATGTAGGATAGTAAAATCCTTCTCCTGAACTAGTGCTTCTAAAAGAGCCTATGGTTTTCTTTCTCAATCTATAAAACAGAAACAAACACAAATTATTATGAGCTTATTCTGAGCTCTTCTGTTTGCTGCATGACTATTCTTAGCTCATTTTCTAAGCAGTTTCCTAAGCGTACGTAGTCCAAAACACCAGAGGTTAGAGTTAGAAATTTCATTTATATCTTTTCCCCTTATTACATAGGCCATTAACTCTTCTCACAGATTAGGTGCATGTGTGAGCACCTGCAGGTGCTTGTAACTGTCTTCCTGACTCATCACTTTCTTTTACCTCTTTTACTTAGTGAGTGCCTGGCATATACTTAGCACTCGCTAAGCTGGTTCTCACTGAGTCACTATCTTGCCTCGGCATATGTGCCGGGTGTTGGGAGGCAGGCCACGCAGGGGATTAGTAGTCTGCCTGGGTCCCTGTCCTCCCTCTCACAGCACCCCAAAGCATTTCTGAGGGCTCCCTGGAGAGAAAAAGTCACTATTCTAGAATAATTTATTTATTTACTTATTTTTATTTCTATTTTTTGAGATGAAGTCTCACTTTATTGCCAAGGCTGGAATACAGTGATGTGATCTCAGCTCACTGCAACCTCCATCTCCCGGGTTCAAGTGATTCTCCTGCCTCAGCCTCCCGAATAGCTGGGATTACAGGCATGCATCACCATGCCCAGCTAATTTTTTTTTGTATTTTTAGTAGAGGCAGGATTTCACCACATTGGCCAGGCTGGTCTCCTGACATATGATCCACCCGCCTTGGCCTCCCAAAGTGCTGGGATTACAGGCATGAGCCACCAGGCCTGGCCCCCATCTCCCGTTTCTCAAGGGGCATCAGTGTCTGGTTCAATCACAGCTTCGTTATCAATTTCTAGATCACTTTCCTCACTTGAAGGCTCGTCTGTGTTTATGTTTTCCTCCACCTTCTTACTACCTGTTTTTGTTTTTAATTCCTTGGTATTTTCGTCTGATTTATAATAGCTTTCTGAGTAGCACGTGGTACTTCACCCCCATGCTCTCCACACACTCCCTCAGGAAGCACATTTCCTCGGTGTGCAGACTGCTCGGATCCTGCTTATACATTTTCACGAAGTCCTGAAGCTCGTTCACTTTGCGAAGGTCCAGGGTCGGAAGGCAGTGGGCGAAGCTGAGGGGCTGCAGGCCAGTTTTGGGCCCAGGTGCTGGCTTGGCATCACCTCGAAGACGAGGTGTGTCTAGTTTAATTTCATAACTTGTATTGGCCCTTTGTTTGGTAAGAAGGTATATCACTAAAATTATTCTTTTATTAGAAGCCTTGCCTAGGGTTGGTTTCTAATTATATGGGCATAAAAGAGCAAGAAGAGGTTTTTCTACAGTAACTATACAATAATTCGGAAAGAGATGAAAATTAATGACGTTAAAGTAATATTTACATGTATGAGAAAAAGGGTGGGGAAGTACCCTCTGAGAGCCACTAGGTGGCAGCCCAATCCTGAACATCATTATTACTTTTGTCAGCCGAGAGGAGGTAGTGGGAAGACTAGTTGTAGTTTGTGCCTAAGGTTGGAGTTCGTGGCTTGGGCAATTGTGGGCAACTGCCTCCATATATAGCATCTTACTTTAAATTATAAGTTTACATAAATTATAAGTTTCTGCAAAAAGGAACAACTTCTATGCCCACCCCCTACAGACCCACAGTGAACAACATGTGGCATGACTAAGAAATAAAGCTTTGTTGTTTTTAGCCATTGAGATTCCAGAATGTCTGTTCCAGCAGCATCATCTAGAATAACATGACTGATACACCTGGCACTTGTAGGAGTATGAGGCAAGGGCAGACAGACAGACGGAGAACTAAATGGTGGTTGAGGCCAAGGCCTGGGTAGGCTACAATGATTGAGCAACTGATGGATCAATTCGAGTCAAGGAAAGACAATACAGATGATGGTCAGGAGAAGCAGTGTTGCAGAACCCAAGAGAAAAAAATATTAATTCTGGTATATTTCTAAAGACAAAAAACAAGCATCAAAATTAAGGGACAAGAAACAAAATTAAGTGGGTTTTGTAATTAGTAGCTCAATGGAGACCAATTTCAATGGCATGACAGATATGGAAACCAGATTTCAAGTGCTTGATACTTCACAGTTAAACTTCTAGATACAATATGTACATAAGTATGTATATATTGGAAGCAAATCTAACACATTTTGTACACTGTATAACATAGGACAGGGATGATAAAACAATCCCAGAAGTATTAAATTCAGTATAATTCAGTATAAATGACCAAGTCACAAGATACAAGAATTGAAAAAACAGTGTAAATAATCTTCGCTTTTAAATTCTACAAATGATTAACTATCAAGGCAAGATTAGAGTATATTAATATAAAACATATAGAACCACTTTAAAATATTGCTAATTGTGAGAATAATAAACAGTTCGTTCTACTGTTCTCAGCATTGTAGCCTATATTTAAAAATTGGCTTTAAAAACAATAGTAGTCAACAAATACAAGTAAGTTTGAATGCATGTTTTTAAGTCAACCAAAAACAATGAGTGCAAAAGAGAAAGTATCCTTTTAAGGCAGACAAAATAGTTGTATTTTAAGATAAGCCTTAGTTAAAAATCATGATATCGAACTGGTCATTTCTGAATGCCACAAAGAAAGGCTGTGTCAAGTTGTCTAAACAATCACATATCTGCAAATACTACTGGAGGATAAAGACCTGGGATGCTGCTAAACATCCTACAATACACAGGACAGTCCCCTAAGGATAGTGGCATCCAGTCTCAACTGTCTCAATGGTGCAAAGGTGGAGAAAACTTGGTCTAGAAGAAATGCAAATCCAAAATAACAACAAAGGCTTTCCTATTAGAAGTTATGTTCCCAACAACTTTGAAGTGCTTACAAATTCAGAAGGTGTAATCTACTTTCATTTTGGATTCATTTGATCTAAAATCATTAAAAATCTTTTAGGAAAAAAACCCCACATGTCTGCTAATACCAACTGAAAACCAAATTAGTGTCTTTAAGTGATTCAACAATTCAAAGCTACTAGATTTTTTTTTTTTTTTTTTTTTTGAGATGAAGTCTCACTCTGTCACCAGACTGGAATACAGTGGCGCCACCTCAGCTCGCTGCAACCTCTGCCTCCTGGGTTCAAGTGATTCTCATGCCTTAGCCTCCCAAGTAGCTGGGATTATAGGCATGTGCCACCACACCCAGCTAATTTTTGTATTTTCAGTAGAGATGGAGTTTCACCATGTTGGCCAGGATGGTATCAGTCTCCAATCAGATCAACCTCATGATCTGCCCGCCTCGGCCTCAAAGTGCTGGGATTACAGGTGTGAGCCACTGCACCCAGCCGCTACTAGATCTTAATATGTCCTGGTGGTTTTCCAAAACTTAAATCAGCTTCAGAGTTGGTTGTTTCATCTATTGAAGCTTTTTTATTTTAGAAATAAAACAAAAAAAGAAAAAGGTACCATGCTTTAAAACAAGTGCACAAGGTGGTTTCAGAGAATTATCTAAAAGAAAGAGCTTCAGTACAAAATTATGACAATTTACTGTGACCTTAGGCCCTGACCAGAGCTTTGAGGGGGGCAGAGTCCACGCAGGACAATATGCTGTTCCCACCCTGCCTGCACAAACAACCTGTTCAGTCTTCAAGAACCCAGTTCAGCCTCTTTCTCTTTGAAAACTTCCCCCATGTCTCTGACCCACAGACCTTTCCTGTTTCCAGCTCTAAACACACACGCTGCTTCCAAAATGTGACTATAAATGCTTAAGGGCAGGGTCTACATCTCCTCCACCTTTTGCACACCCACTCAGCAACTACTATAATTGAAGGAAACTTAGCATGAGAATTCACTTGACAGCTTTGGGAAGATTTCCCACTTGCTCTAAAATATGTTTAAAAAAGAAGTGAAGAAAAACAAAAATCAAAAAATAAATGCAAAAACCCACCATGAATGAAAATGTCTACAGATACAAAATGATTTAGAGGTATCTGAAAATAAGGACTGATGATCTGATTTATCAAAAGGTGAATTATATGTCCGTCATACACAAAAATCATACAGATAGAGTACTTAATCAGATCATTGAAGACCCACCTCAAGGTATCTCAAATTAGAAAGCCTCTTATAGAGAAGACTGATTTATAAGACTACAGTCAAAAGAGTTTATGAATTCAAATCCATTACCTTACAAATGAAACTATTTTCAAGTCCCACATTTCTGCCTCAGGAAAAAAAAAACTTCAGGTTTTGTTCTAAACAGAATGACAAAGGCCTAGTTGTGTATATACAACAATGTACAAAGACACATTTCTGTGCCTAGAGTGACTCCTATGAATAATCACACTGCTGAAAATGTTTCCCTATATATCCCAAGACTGTTGCACCTGGCTCATTCCTTAAGCAGCCCCCTAAGTGCCAAGTAATCACTAAGGGTAAAAAGGTGAATAGGGCTGTACCTGTCCTGAGACAGCCGTGGCCTAGTGAGAATCTGTGGGACAGAGCTGAGCTGAGCCCTAGGTGGCTCCAGGGCCACAGGCCTTGGCAAAGGCCTCCTGGGGGAACCTGGAAGGGCAAAGTGGTTCAGCGGTTCAAGTCTTGAAGTCCAATGCCTAACAGCCCTCTCCTCTGACATGCCACATACACCGCTAATGCAACACATCCAAAACTGACCTCTGGGTCTCCTTCCAAAAGACGTTTGCTTCTGCCACTGAAGCTCTGAGTGTGGTTAATTCCATAACTTCCATCTTCACCAGAAAGGTCCACTTTCCCTTTCATTCTCCCCTTCCTTCTCCTGAATAGCTTGTAGTTCACCAATTGATACTAAGTGTCTCTCTTAGACGCTTCTGGAACCATTTCCATTGTTGGCATCCCACTGCCAAGGCACTTGCTGCATGGGAACGTCTTGCTGAGCTATGGCAGCAGCAGCTGAACTGGTTTTCCTACCACACCTTTCCCTGTTATGTTCTTTAGAAGCAGATCAGACTGTGTCCTCACCCTGCCTTCAGGAAAAAATCTAGGCTTCTAAACAGAGACGTTTCTCAACCTGTCTTTACAATCTCATCCTCACCAAAATCCCTGCCTGTGCTAGAAACCATTGCCTTGGTTCCCTGAAAATGCCATTTATGTTCAGGCCTCCAACCCTTTGGCTCAGGCTGTTCTCTCTACATAGAATGGTCTCTTCTGCTCCCTTCTCTGCTGGGAGAATGGCTGCTCTGTTTAGGGCCCAGCTAAAATGCTTCTATTATGCAAACTCTGCCTTGACCCCAAGTACACCTAAAGCCCAGATGTTCTCATGGCACTCTGTATAAACTCTTATTTGGAGCTCATCATACACACAAAAGGTGTTTTGTTTGTTTAGGAACCCAATGATAGGAAACTTCATTCTCAGAGTACTCATAACATAATCAGGAAGCAGAGCCTAAGGAAAGCAAGTCACTTGAGGCCTGGACTCTAATGCTGACACTGCTTCTCTTCTTCCTCTTTCTCACTTTCTCTCTAGTCTCTAAAAATCTTAAGTCCTAGTACCTGAAGTTGATCACAGGTGTTGGAATCATGAAAAAAACCTTCAAGGAACATTATGTGTGATGAGTTTGATGCTCTGAGAGGTGTTGGCCCCGACAAAGACAACTCTGAAAATCCAAATAAATCTCCGACTTGGTGAGTGAACTGTGGAAAGGCATCTCCCCATGCCTGGAGGCTGCTGGTTCTCCTTGTCCAATTCAAGTTGCTACCCTACTCCACCTCGACCTGCTTATACCACACATGCCACCCAAAAATAGTTTGCTGAAGTGTCAACCATGACTTGGGACTGGCATTCTCTGGCAGCACACAGCCATCCACCAGTAGACGCATGAGAGCAGTCCGCACTAGTGGGCAGTGGCAGCAGGCCAAGTGATGTGGGATATTCAAATGGAGTGGAGTGTGGAGAAGTGGAATGAAACTTCTTTCTTTTCAGCATTTATTATATTAAAATTATATAAACAGAATCAAGAATGCCATTCTATCTACATCAGCAAGTTGAACTGGTGATCAAAAGTACAAATATACATGTGTCTATAATTCTAGAAGTAATAACTAGGAAGCCAAGAAGTCAAATAAACATTGGCTGAAATGAAAGTTAATCCATGGTTTTATCTGCCCAAATCAGTACCAAAAATAACTCAGAGGAAGGACAAATGTATTATCTATTCTAAAATAACTGCAGTTAAGAACAAATTCAACTCTAATATAGCCAGGCATTACAGTATTTCAAAGTACAATAAAGAAAGTCATGAAGGGCGAGGAATGGTGGCTCATGCCTGTAATCCTAGCACTTTGGGAGGCCGAGGTGGTTGGATCACCTGAGGTCAGGAGTTGGAGACCAGCCTGGCCAAAATGGTGAAACACCTTCTCTACTTAAAATACAAAAATTAGCCAGGCATGGTGGTGCATGCCTGTAATCCCAGCCATTTGGAGGCTGAGGCAGGAGAATCGTTTGAACCCGGGAGGCAGAGGTTGCAGTGTGCCCAGATCGCACCACTGCACTCCAGCCAGGGTGACGGATGGAGTGAGACTGTCTCTAAAAAAAAAAAAAAAAAAAGTTATGAAGAAAAATACGAAAAAAGTAAAAACTTCGTAAGTGGTTATTCACATTACCATTGTATTACAACGATAATACAATGTAGCATAAAACAGTAAAACACTTGGTCTGGGGTAGGGAGAAACAAGTTAAAAGGAATTTCGTTGGGGGGGGGTGCATATAAAAACATGGTTAAGACAGGAACTAAGCAAAAACCCCTCTCTAGTCACCTCTAATCACAGCTCCTCCACCACTACTGCATCTTCAGCCTTTCCCCCTCAAAATTGTTAAATGACATACAACAGGAGGAAGTCAGAATCAGGTAAGCTAAACCCAGGGACAGAACTCAAAGAGCATTTCTTTATAAAATCAAGAAAACTAGAACCTCATAAATTCTGAGGCAAGGACTTTATGCTCTCTACTCTAAGAGATGAGACATTCACGATTTACAACCTGAAACACTTCTGACAGAATAGCAGGCATCTTGACGTAAGGTCAAATAGAGAGAACACCTGCATGGACTATGTCCTAAGTCAATCAGACAAAGGCGTTGAAAACAATACATGTTAAGGAAAAGGCATGTCCCAGGCCAGCCTCCAGAGTCCACCTTAACAAATGGCATCAATGGTCAAACCTGAAGAGCGAATAAGTATCAATTTTAAATACACTTGTCCCTCAATTAGCTACTAATGAATGGTTCTCATTAGCAAATGTTCCATATATCTGAAGCACACTACCTTTATGAGTGAAAGCTTTGGGTAAACAACAGGCTGTGTGCATTGATGACATTTATGACTTCCCCTCATCTCCTCCTCCCATGCTTCCATTGTTCACACCCTAAGTTCCATCCGGGCCTTTGTCTATTTTGTCCACTGCTGCATCCCCAGCAGCTGTAATGTCACCTAAGACATTGTAGGAGCTCATCTGTTAAACAAATGAATCCTGCCCTATCCAGGAACCAAGCAAACGAAATAAGACTCTTAGATTTTTGCCCAAATTAAAAGTAAGGAATGAGGCTCTTCTGGCAGAACAGAATCCCTCTTTGCTTCTTATGTTTATCAGCTAAACTTTGAGAAAAAAATGGACCACAAGAATCACACATTAAATGAGAATGTGCCAGGCTAACTGCTCTATTTTCTATGTTCTTACCAGTTTGATTTTAGAGGAAAGATTTTCTGGCAATTTTGTTTTTAGTTGATTTGTTTCCTTGAATGTCGGTGGAAATCCACTCAGGAAAGCCAAATCTTGCATTAGCACTAATCCAGGGACTTCTTTATCTGTTGTCTAAAATAAGGGGAAAAACACAACTCATTTTCCACATCATGAGGCTGGTGAAAACCTACAGCTGAGAAAACTAATAAAGATCTAATGCATCACAACACAAGCTTCAAAATATGACTTTTAGGATTACTTGAATCAATAGTCATTAATATTAGTAAGCTACCCTTAGACAAAAAAAAAACATTAAAAAGATTCTCAAAGACAAACAGCTTTATTATTCATATTTTTATTCTAGTCTATTGTAAAAATGCAATTTAATTTAAAATAACATACCAAGTAGCCCCTCCATACTGTCTGTCTGTTGTTTCCTTTAAGCAGTCCAGAGTGGGCATCTTCAACTACAACCAAGAATACAATAAACAAGCACATTTTTAATGAATACTTAACTATGGTGTCTGGCAGAACACTGTGAAAACATTCTGAGACCTATTAAAGCAGCATAATATATGGTCCAAAAAAGGAAGCTGAAGGAGACAAAATTAGCCCATTCAACAAAAGGGGAACAGTGTAAATCAGTGTACATTGAAATGTTAAATTTCACAATACTATAAGTGACTGACACAAAGGGAATGCTTCATGGAAGCAAATTTAAGCTAGAATGCGAAGAAGGAAATGATAGGATGATAGAAATCACAGATGTATGTGCAAAGATGGGGGGAACAAAGAATTGTTTGACTAGAGTAAAATATTTGGGAGTGGTGAGTACTAGGAAACAAGGGTAACCAAAGGGGGCCTTTGAATGCCAGGCAGTGGCATGTATGTTAACAGCAGGGGGCTACTATGGATCTTGTGGTTCCTTAAGAGGCACAGTTTTCTCAAAATGAATCCCTAAAATTCACTGGGTGCTGCTGCATGGAGCATCGTAAATCAGGGTAGGGATTGGGGATGACACAGCCCCACTGGGACAGAGTTAGTGATGGGGACAAGTGAGATCAGCAAACTCGTTGCTGACATTCAGGGATTGTGGAAAACAGAAGACAGGTCAGAAAGCTCCAATTCTGATCTTCAAGATAAACAAAGAAGGCACGTTCTCCAAATTATAGCCTGATGAGATGAGACGTCAATCCTGGGCATGAGTCTCAAGTGTACTAGAGTTACAAGGCACAGTAGCTCATGCCTGTAATCCCAGCACTTTGGGAGGCTGAGGCAGGAGTATCACTTGAGCCCGTAAGTTCTAGATCAGCCTGGACAACATGGCAAAACCCTGTCTTTACAACAAACAAACAAAAAACACAAAAACTAGCCGAGTGTGGTGGTGGTGGCGGTGACGGTGGTGTGCACCTATAATCCCAGCTACTCCGCAGGCTGAGATGGGAGGATCATCTGAGCCCGGGAGTTGGGGCTGTGGTGAGCCACGATCATGCCACTGCACCCTAGCCTGGGGACAGAGTGAGACCTGGTCTCAAAAACTGAAACACAACAATATAGTTGGTAAGCACGGGAGAAAAGAAAGCCCTCATAATACACTGTTTATCTTAAAAGGAAGCACTGGCTGTTAAGAGTATGAGTTCATTACAACTTTATCAGATAAACTTTTCTCTCTCTCTTTCCATTGACATGATGAATTCTACCTAACAGATCTGGTATATGTATTTGTAATCCTAGCAAAGTAGCTAAGAGCATCTCATGTCATCTTCATGGATATAACAAAGATGTACAGGCTTGGTGCTCAGATGGGCTATAACTTAACCAATTCTACCAAAGAGGTGAGATAACAAAGCCGCAATCAACCTAGAGGGAGGTTTAGGAGATTACTCACAGGTCCCGTCTTGCTGAACCCTCTATCAGTGTTTTGGAAGTTACAGAAGGCATGCTTGTGAAATGTGTAGATTCATATGAAGATGGCAGAGAAGCTATCGTCCTGGATAAGAAACTATGGATTCCCCAAATTTGTGACTATTTGGAGCAATGAGTCAAATCTGGCAAAATAAAATCTCCTATGAAGTAAAACCTTTATAACTTGGTACCAAAACCAACTATACAACCATAAACTAAAATAGGTATTTCAGCATTAGAGCATGTAAGTGTTTTTTTTTTTTAAAGGTAAGTTTTACTCAACAGTGAGTTCAGTATGAGTCTACAATGTGCTGTGGCCATACTGAATTTCCATCACATTTTTGTGTTTTTAAACAGAAGTAAAGTACATCGAATAAGAATAAAAAAGGTGACGATGTTCTCCAAAACTGAGTCATTAGGAAACCCTGTTGGGTTGACCTTCAAAATGTCCAGAATCCAACCCCTTCTTACCTTCACTGCACCTCCCTGGTCTAATCAACCTTCCCTCTTGTCTGAATTATCACAACTTTTGCCCCTCCTCAGTCTATTTCCACCAAAGAAGCCAGACTGATCCCTCTGGAATGTAAGTCAGATCACATTACATTTCCACTCAAAACCCTCTGGTGATTCCGCATCCCACTCCAAGTTAAAGCCAGGTCCTTGTTATGGGTACCAAGGCTTATGCCATTTGGTCCCCCGCTTACTTCTTCAGGTTCATCTACTGCCTGTCTCTGCCTTGTTTACTTCATTCCAGCCACACTGGCCTCCTTGCTTTTCTTCAAACATGCCAGATACACTCCTGCCTCAGGGCCTTTGCAATGGCTATTCTACTTACTCAGATCACTCTTTCCCCAGATAGTCACGTTGCTGGCTACCTCACCTTCTTCACATTTCCACTCAAAAGTCACCTTCTGAGTGAGGAATGTCCCTACCATCCAAATTAGAATTGCAATCCCCGTGCCCTGGCCGACACTTCTCTGCTGCTGCCCCTGCTTGTGTTTTTTGTTTTGTTTTGTTTTTTCCACAGCATTATCTTCTACAAACTATGTAATCTACTTATTTATCGCATTTACCGTCTGACTCCCTCCACCAAGATGTAAACTCAAGATAAGGGCAGAGATTTTTGTCCATCTGTTCCCTGCTCTATCTTCAGTACAGGGAACAGTACCTGGCACATGGCAGGCACTTAATAAGCACTCATTAAATGGACAGTCCTGCTCTCCCTGCCAAGACGGAACCACACTAAAATAGAATGTTCACTTCCCATTGACACATTTTAGAAGTAATCTGAGAAGAGCAAACTGGGACACTCACAAGTCCCTGAGAGACAACCAAAGAAAGGAAAATAAAATGTCCCAAGGGAGAGGGATTACATGAGTTCTGTGTGACCATAGGAGGTACAACTTTAACCTATATGAGAAAGTTATAAGGAAGCAGTTTGTGGTTCCTTTTGAAAGTCAGTTTAGAGGTAAAATGAACTGCCACTGGAGGAAATTTGTTTGCTATAAATCAGAAAGTGTAAGCTTGATTGGAAAACTACTTTGCTGAGTAGACCCCGCTCCAGGCTGCAGATGGAATATGTGAGTGCTGAGGTACAAATCAGTTCAGGATCTATAGAGGGGGTATATATTTATACTTGGAAAGATTAACATTTCCTTTCATACTAAAAATAACTTTTTTTTTTTTTTTTTCCAGACAGAGTCTCACTCTTGCACAGGCTGGAGATCACTGGTATAATCTCAGCTCACTGCAGTCTCAACCTCCCAGGCTCAAGCGATCCTCCCATCTCAGCCTCCCAAGTAGCTGGGATTACAGGTGTATGCCATCATGCCAGACTAATTTTCGGGTTTTTTTGTAAAGACAGGGTTTTGCCATGTTACCAAGGCTGGTTTTGAACTCCTGAGCTCAAGCAATCTGCCCACCTTGACCTCCCAAAGTGCTGGGATTACAGGCGTGGGCCACCACACCCAACCTCAAACTAAAAATAACTTGTTAAGTATCAGGGAGCAAGCACTGTTAGGCACTGATCAGGACATAAACTGGTGAGTGGTAAGTCTTCTGTTCAACAAAAAAAATTCCATGAGAAAAACCATAAACCCCTGTGCAATCAAACCTGAGTTATGAGTTAGATTGTAAGTATTATAGAAATGCAGGAAAGTAAAAATAAAAATAAAATCATGATGAATATATTAGTCTGGGAGCTTCATGAAGGAGAGAGGGCTTAAAGTGGGGCTGAATGAAGCAGGGGATGGACTGAGAGGGAAGGAGAAGGGGACAGGCAGCGGGACACAAGGCCTAGCACCACATGTGTGAAGACACTGACAGCTGCAACATGATGTGGGGAAGGCAGGGATATGGGGATCAACTGACAAAATCAAGGCAATTAAAGCTGAATCCCAAACACCAGGAAAAGAAGTTTGTATCCATGTGAAAAGCAAACATACACTGCTATATTATTCTTTTCATAAAGGCAGTGAACCCATAAAATCAGGGTTTTCAGGTTTATTTGAGACCTGTGTGCCAGACAGACTGAGATGGACTTTACACAGACAGAGCAGGAGTCTTATTACTGGAGTCTGAGGGAATTCAGTCTGGTGTGGAGGAAATAAGTAAGGTAAGAACCTAAGAATCATGTGCAAAAAAAGAAAAGCAAGTCATACGATGAAGTTAATTATTAGTTATATATGTAAAAGGTAAGAAGGGGTCAAAGATGGTTCCAAAGATTTAAGCTGGGAGGTACGACACTGGCAGAATGGGAGCTAGAGAACTAGACTTGGTGTTGGAAAGGGAACATGACAGCTTTCATTTTATACATAAAAACCACAGACCTTCCAAATAGAGACAATCCATGCAGAGGAGGAATGAGTCAGACAAGAGGCTAGAGCAGAAGATGCAGGTTATGGGCTCAGCAGTGCACTGGCCAAGTGGGAGAATGGGATCTCTAAGGATGTGGGTGCAGTTTTATGCCAGGAATTACCATTTTAATTCCATTATCTGCCCAAATCATCTGTTGTCTTATAAACAAGAGAAATTTGTTTTTCACAGTTCTGGTGGCCAAAGTCTGAGATCAGATTGCCAGCACGCTTGGGTTTTGGTGAGGGTACTCTTCCAGGCTGCAGAGGGCATCTTCTCACAACGCCACATGGTGGAGAGCAGAGGGAGCTCTCTGGAGTCTCTTCTGCTATTATTTATTATTTTGAGGCAAGGCCTCACTCTACTGTCCAGGCTGGAGAACCGCTCAGCCTTGAATTCCTGGGCTCAAGCGATCCTCCTGCCTTAGCCTCCCAAGTAGCTAGGACTACAGGCACATACCACCATGTCCAGCTGTGTTTTTGTTGTTGTTGTTGTTGTTGTTGTTATTGTTTGGTAGAGACAGGTTCTCACTATGTTGCCCAGGCTGGTCTTGAACTCCTTAGGCTCAAGCAATCCTCCTTAGTTTCCCAAAATTACAGGTATGAGCCACTATGCCCAGCCGAGGATCTCTTTTATAAGGGCACTAATCCCATCAAAGGCTCCACCTCCCAATACCATCATGCTGGGGGTTATGATTTCAACATACAAATTTTGGAGGAAACACAAACATTCAGTTCATATATCTCAGAATGAATACTCCAGGTATGTTCTGTCCAAACTGCAGAACGCAACCTTGTAGAGGAGTTATATGGTAGAAAAATTGCCTCCAGAATAACTCATGGCCAAGAGAACAAGGTAATTATGATGTCAGATTGAAGGTCCTCATCACAGCACAGAAAGGTTTGTGTATTACACAGAGTAAAATATATGCAGCAATCCCTTTTTGAGGTTAGGCCAAAATACAATGGCAGCTCTTTTGCTTCTCTTTGTGCATTTTTAGAAAAGTTTATCAGACACTTAACAATGAATTGTTTCTATTCCACTCAGAATTTTGTTATTCAAACATCCAATGATAATATGATTTTAAAATATCCATAAAAAGATCTTACCATCCTTAGTACTGTCAAAAACAACAACTGAGACATTAGTAGAAGGGTTTTTTGGTTTTGCAACATTGAATATGTCACTGGCAGAATGAAAAGAAGGATAAAGAGATGGCAGGTCCTTCAGGGTGATGCTGGCTGGCAGGGCTGGGTCCAGGACAAGCATGGGCACCTTGATGCAGTGCGTCAGCAAACACTCTAACTGCTTCTCACTGGAAAGAAACACCAACATGCTCACAGCTACATTCTTGAAATGCAATCGACAATGAGAAGCTTGTCATACTACTGAATTTTTCAGATTTTTTATAGCCCATCAAAAAAATCATAGTATTTTAACAAATGAAGACTTTTATTTCATGGATACAAAAATTAAGTTCGCAAGTATGATATAAAATTGTTCAATCCAACTCTAAAGATAGAGCTTCCAAACTCCCACTAATAAGACCCCCACCAATATTTACTAACTCCAAAGTGCACATGAAATTAAGCACTTCATTACTATCATTTTTAAAAGATTATTCATAATTCCAATAAAGCCCATTATTGGGCAGATTAGGAAGGAGGTAGATTCTGGTTAATAGAGTGTCATGTTACCAGATACAAGTTACCAATTCCAGTTAGAAAACAACTAAACGCATTGGATATGACACTACATTGATGTAAACAAAAGCAACTGTGACAAGGTTCTAATATAAATTTATATGAGATATTTCTATCTGATTATAAGAAATATCTACAATAAACCTATTACCTGAATAAACAAATGGATGGTCAAAGGACATGGCTAGAAAATTCACAAAGTAGGACCAATAACCAGTCAAACAGTATAAAAAATTGTTCAACTTCCTTTATAAAGAAATGTAAAAGAAAACAAAGAGCTATCACCTTTACTAAATTAGCACCCCTCAAAAAATGATGACTCAATATTAGCACAAATGCAGTAAATCTACTTATCTTAAATACTGCTGGTATCACTCCAAACGACACCAACTCTTTTGGGAAAGCAAGTTGGTAATATATACATATATGCTTGTCTAATACGCATATGCAATACATACATACTTATTCAGAACCATAAAAACATATATAAGCTTCTTCCTCAGTAACCTTACTTTCAGGAATCTAGTCCAGTCCAAGTATGGAAGAGAAACAAAACAGAAAAAACAAACCCACACACAGAAAATGCCACAGACCCAAATATAAGAATCATGAAATAATGACAATAGTGAAATACAGAAATGTCTAACATTTAGTAAATTACAGTACTCACTTTATGGAATATTATACAACTATTAAAACTGAAAGATATGAAGTATGAAGATAATACATCAACATGATACATATGTATAATTACATAAAGTTTAAAAAGTAGGATACAAAACTGCACACAAGATTATAAACTACAACTACTCAAATATGCATGAAAAGGGAATAATAAAAATAACAGTTGTTAAATAAGGGTTATAAAATTTTGTGAGTTTTTTCTTTTCACTTTCTTCTCAATCTTTCTTCGTGTTGCACTATTGCTTTTATTTAAATAATTTAAAAACCATTTAAAAACCAGTATTAATGTTAATATAGTTTATAAATAAAGTTATATAATTAACATAAAAAGATAGCTTAGAAGGCACTTCTGAGGCCTGGCACGGTGGCTCACACCTGTAATCCCAATACTATGGGAGGCCGAGGCGGGCAGATCACCTGAGGCTGCAAGTTTGAGACCAGCCTGACCAACATGGAGAAACCCTGTCTCTACTAAAAACACAAAATTAGCTGGGCGTGGTGGTGCATGCCTGTAATCCCAGCTACTTGGGAGGCTGAGGCAAGAGAATTGCTTGAACCTGGGAGGCGGAGGTTGCGGTGAGCCGAGATTGCACCATTGCACTCCAGCCTGGGCAACAAGAGCAAACTCCGTCTCAAAAAAAAAAAAGAAGGCACTTCTGGATCTTGAAATTCTCAGGATCTTCTCCATCAATAAGCATTTTAAAAAGTCTGATGGTTAAGTGGGTAGGTGACAATTAACAGAGATGGCTTGTCAGTGAGAAAGTCTTGTTTTAAGGACCTGTCAGAGTCAGGAATGACTCAAGTCAAGATAGGTGTATTTGGTTCTTCTTGTTGGGCTAAATCTCCTTCCTAGGTTCTTAAACATAAAATATACAGCTTTTAAAGATAAGGACGTATATATTGAACCTACAAGTAAATGATGGACATAAATTTTATAAATGAAAATACTGGGTAGAAGTTAGAGTATAAGTGGACCAAGAGAATAATGCACCAAGACAGATTAATAGGAGGGAACTATAGAGAAGGAAATCTTGGGACTCTAACCCTCACCAATGCAGTGAAGCTTTGGTTAGCAAAATAACCAGAGTTCTCAATCAACTATGCACTCAGCACTGCAAAATTTCCCATCTAATAGATGTACCTAATTTGGGGTCAAAAACTATATGGATAATAGAGTAAATAGAAAATCCTGAATACCCAACAAAAATAAATAATCTGAAATTTCACTTCTATCTTTCAATTTTTATTCTTGAGAGGAAATCAAAATGCTTACCTCTTCTTAGTTGGTTCCGTTGTGTTTTTCCCAAGGATTTCTCTAATAAAAGGCAAATACAGTTTATTACATACATATGGACTAGTGGTAACCCTAAATGTGAGTAAGAGGGACTGACAATGCTTACCACACTTAAAATGCATAATGAATTATATGTTCCAGTGAAATATTACCAACAATACTGTACCTCCCACTGTAACCAAGACAGTTTGCTTAAAGCATAAACTTTTATATTTTATTAGTAAAACATTGTACCAGGCTGCCAGCCATTTTCATGCACTGGGTAAGTCGTATAACCTCAAACAAAGAGAAAATGAATTTGCTCCAATATAAGGTGGCCAAAGACCTGCACTGGGATGCACTCTTGACATTCACAAAGAAGTCAACAAGTAGGTACTAACAAATACTCCTAACGAATCAAAGGGGAATTACATCCGCCAGGTTCCTACCCCTGATGGCTATCCAGAAGTCTGCTGTATCTTTCCCAGATAAAGTAAATAAAATGACCAATCTCATATATTAAATAAAAAATACCAAAGTTTCTAATTCCATAATCTGGAATTTATTCCTAAATGGCATAAAGGGAATATACCTTTTACTGCCATTTTCAAATGGAAACAAGTCTGTGGCCCTATTATATTTTTTAAGGGAAGAATCTGTCTTACTATGGAGATATCTGTCATAACAAACACTTATTTCAAGAAGATACCACACCTGGGGCTCTAAATGAGTAAGCAGGCAGCCAGGGGGGTGGGGGAGGGGGTCCTCTGTCTTTAAGTCCCTTGGAGAGCAAGCCATCACTAGAGCACCACATTCATAAAATCATCTAACAAAGTGAGGCCAGTATCTGGCAAGAGTGGCTGAGTCCTCCTTAGGCACCAAGAAACACAGGCCAGATGGATGACTGCCAAGATCTCGTAATGGCATGAACTGAGAGGCAAGTTTGTTTGGATGGCACTGTGAAAATCAACTTATCTTTCGCTAATGCATGCTTGCTTGTACTCACGGGACGATGTGTTTTGTTTTGTTTCTTTTTCTTTTTTGAGACAGGGTCTTGCTCTGTCACCCAAGTTGGAAGGCAGTGGCACAATCACGGCTCACTGCAATCTCAACCTCCTGAGCTCAAATGATTCTCCTGCCTCAGCCTCCCAAGTAGGTGGGACTGCAGGCGTGCGCCACCACACCCAACAATATTTTCTTTTTTTTGTAGAGATGAAGTCTCACTATGTTGCCCAGTCTGGTCTTGAACTCCTGGCCTCAAGTGATCCTCCCATCTCCACCTCCCAAAGTTCTGAGATTACAGGTGTGAGGCACCATGCCTGGCCTGTTTTGTTTTTTAAGAATCAGTTTTACCAGATCCTTTTGTAGTTCATTAGCATGATGATTGGGTTTTCATGCTCATGTGTGAGATGTGCCACCCTCAGACCTTATTACATCGCCACATTACCCATTTGATGTGGAAAAAAAAAAATCAGTTTTACCTCATTGCTTTCTGCTCCTCCTCCATCTGTTCTCTGACCTGCTGTAGCTCCTTCAGTAGTTCAAGATCTGTGCCATTCACCCAGGTGTAAACAACGTCAATCGGCATGGGCAGGCACAGCCTAGAGCAAACCAAGAAATCCTACAGTTTAAATGAATTTTTCCAATATATTTGGGAATAAGAATATCACAGGGCTTAAACCCAGAGATTAAGAAAAAAAAAAATCTATGAAGAAGTAATCCAACCATGACATATTATCACAGAACTGCATGTTTTCAAACTGTAGCTGGGTGGCTAATATTTGTCAGGTACCTTCTCTGTGAGTTGTATTATGCTAGACACGTACGTAATTTGCATCGCTTGATCCTCACAGCCACTCTGTAAGAAGGCTAATATTAAAGATTTAAAGATGGTTCGTGGATGAAGTAGAGTAGTCTTGGAAGCTCAGTTTACATTAAACTGCCTGTTCTCATAATTTAGCAAACAAGGACGCTGGGACACAAATGCAGTCAAACATAGAAAATAAATTAGAAGTTTAAAGAACAAAATTACAGGCTCTGCACAGTGGCTCACACCTATAACCACAGCACTTTGGGAGGCCAGAATGAGAGGATCACTTGAGCCCAGGAGTTTGAGACGAGCCTGGGCAACATAGTGAGAACCTGTCTCTACAAAAAATTTTAAAAATCAGCTGGGTATGGTGGTGTGCATCTGTAGTCCCAGCTACTCAGAAGGCTGAGGTGGGACTGCAGTGAGCTATGATTGTACCACTGCACTTCAGCCCGGGTGATAGATCGAGGCCTTGTCTCTAAAAAAAAGAACAAATTACAAAAAAAGTTATCAAAACCTACAATGAAGACCTAGCCCTACTTAATGCTGTAGACTTCTTGTGCCTTGCTCCCCGCAAGCCCGGACCCTCCCCAGCCTCACCTTTGCTTTTTTTTTTTTTTTTTTTTTTTTTTTTTTGTTCACAGCACTTACTACTTTTGTAACATATTAAATAATTAACTTGTAACCTATTCCATTAATTATGTGTGGCCCTCTCCTAGAATGTAAGCTCCAAGAAAGCAGAAAACTTTCCTGCTTTGTTCTCTAAAGTATCCAAGCAATGAGAAGAGTGCCTGGCACACAGGAGCCCAATAAGTATCTGCTGACATATGAGACACTAGTACAGAAGACCTTCCTGAACTTGCACCATTTCTTCCTGATCATCTTATCCCATAATAAAGAGTCAGGCAGGCTTTTAACTACTGAGTATGTTGTTTAAGCCTCACCTTAGTGATTTTACCCAGATTTTATCCCTGCCAAAAGCACTCTTCCCTTTTCTCTCACTTTTCAAAAACCTACCCATCTTTCAGGGGCCTGCCCGGATGCATGCCACTCTGACTTATGACACAGGAGTTCATGTGTATGTACATCTGGGTACTGACATTACTTTAGATCAGGGGTGTCCAACCTTTTGGCTTTCCTGAGCCACAGTGGGAGAAGAATTGTCTTGGGTCACACATAAAATACACTAACACTAAAAATAGTTGATGAGCTAAAACAAAACAAAAAACACGCAAAAAAAAATCTCATCATGTTTTAAGAAAGTTTACAAATTTGTGTTGGGTCACATTCAAAGCCGTTCTTGGCCACATGTGGCCCGCAGGTTGGACAAATTTGCTTTAGATAGTGCTATTTCATGTTTAGTACTTTCCAAGAAACTATATGGGTTTCGCAGTCTGATTTTTAGGCCACGGACCAAAGCATACCATCCTTTTATCCTCCTCACAGCCCAGGCACAGCCTAGACTTTCTACCATATTATCTTGTGGTAATATGGTAGACTTGCTACCATATTATCTCGTGGGAAAATAAATACCATTTGGTAGATAAATCTTTTGAATTATGGAAGGAAAAAATAAACAGAAATGACAACAACCTTTAGCTTACAAGAAGTAGGGGAGATAACTGGATGAGTTTATCCATTCACTGAATAATTCTTATTGAGCACTTAGTATATGCTAGGTACTGTTCTAGGTGCACAGGTTTCAGCAGTAAATAAAACAAAGCCCAAATCTGTGCTTTCATGGAGCTTACATTCCAGAAGGGAGAAGACAGGAAATAAATCAAATAAATAAAGTCAGATGATGTTAAATGTTGTGGAGAAAGTAAAGCAGCAAATGGGGATAGAAAGAGTGCCTATGGGGTGGAGGGGGTGGTCAGTTTTAAATAGGGAGATCAGAGATGGCCTCAGTACATTCAGCAAAGAGATGAAGGAAGTGAGGAAGCTAGCCAGGTGGGTAACTGGGAGAAGAATGTGCCAGAGAAAGGGAATACCAAATGCAAATGCCCTGAGGCAGGAACATATCTTGCTTGTTCAAGGACCCAGAGGCCAAGTTCCCTGAGCAGAGGGGAGAGAGCAAATGGAAGAGAACAGTGGAAAATAAAGATCAAAGAGACAACAGAGTTCCAGAGCTTCATCAGGAAAATAAGGAATCAACTTATTCTCTGGCATATGTGATAGCTGAGTATTTACCAACTGAGTATTTCCTCAACCCCCTCCCTTCCCTCACCCCTCACAAAGAGAATCTATAGCTTAATATGCAGCTTCCACACTACTTTGGACTGTAAGGAATCCTGATCGTACTGTGTTGTGCTATTTTCCATGCAGCCCTATCTTCCACTAGATGGAATATCTCTAGGGCAGAAATTGTATCATGCATTCTGTGCCCTGCTTCATTAATTATTTCCTCTCTTTCCTACATCTTCAGGCTCTCTCTCCCTACTGTAATGATTTGCAAAGGTTTCCCTATCTAGGGTTTTTCAGAATTTATCAATAAACAAATTCTAGTGTTTGTAGAATTTCTTTTTCTCACAAGCTCTCAGGTAATGCTGATGTTGCTGCTCCAGAAATTGCACTTTGGGAACCACTGATATACATGTAGGTTATATACTTCACTTTTTTTCCCCCTAAAATGCCAGTTCTATCTATATAAGGCCAATGAGTTCATTTTGTTCACCACTATATGCCTAGGGCCTAGAACAGTTCCTCCCACATGGGTGGGGTTTAATACATATTTGTTGCCTAACTATTAGTTCATTCCTTTATCATATATACATCAGTCTTTCTCATTAAAAAAAAAAAAATCCATCTGCCTCACACTGCCTACATGTAAATTATCCAAGGTCATCTCATTCCCAGCCTCCCAGGTGATTTATGCTCAGACTAACAATAAATTTTTAAAAACTGCTTAAGTGATGTTTTTAAAAGAAAAGGTTAAAGGAGAGAATTACATCTTAAGTTTTCCTGTAAAAGTAATCATCTGCTATTAAATATTTTTAATATATCATATATATTTAGCTGATTAAAACATAATATACTGTATGTATTACATTATCAATGTAACTTTGGTGAAACTGACAAATGGAAAGAGATTGTGTGATCTGCACGAGGTCAATGAGTCAGTTGTTTTCCTATTAGACATGGTCACACTCTAAATCTTTCATTCTAACCACTAGGTCACTATCTTGGTTCACAGATGAGAAGGAATGCTTTATCTTAGAACTGAAAACTAAGACTAAGTCACCCATGACTCAGAACCAAAGCAGCGATGACACTGACACAACTTTCATTTTAATCACTGTTAAGTGAATATTAAAGCCACTTAACAGTCCCTTAGTTCTACATTCTATAAAGTAGGTGAGAAAACAGAGAACTTAAATAGTATTTTGTGTCTTATTTATTTATTTTTTTGAGATAGTCTCGCTCTGTCACCCAGGCTGGAGTGCCGTGGTGCCATCTCAGTTCACTGCAACCTCTGCATCCCAGGTTCAACCAATTCTCCCTGCCTCAGCCTCCCAAGTAGCTGGGATTATAGGCACTCACCACCGCCTGGGCTTATTTTTATATTTTTGGTAGAGACGGGGTTTCACTATGTTGGCCAGACTGGTGTTGAACTCCTGACCTCAAGTGATGTGCCCACCTTGGCCTCCCAAAGTGCTATGACTATAGGCATGAGCCACCACGCCTGGCCTTAAATAGTATTTTAGAACCAAACACTTGGAAGAGATTGTAATCTTAATCTAACAGATCTTAATCTAATATCTACATTTTATGGATGACAAAACTGAGCCCCAGATAGACGTAAAGACCCACAATAAGTAGCAGTGGATAGGGATTTTTTTCATTCAGAGCAAACAACCTTAAAAAGATTTACACTGGCCAGGCATGGTGGCTCACGCCTCTAATCTTAACACTTTGGGAGGCTTAGGTAAGAGGATCACTTGAAGTCAGGAGTTTGAGACCAGCCTGGGCAATACAGCAAGACCCTATCTCTATTAAAATAAATAATTTTTTTAAAATAAAAAAAATTGTAGAGAAACTAGCAAAATAATGAAAATATATGAATGTTATGGTATTTTAAAATATATTAGACCATGTGAAATGTTATTTATGATCCATTTATTTGTCACCATCAAAATGAGGAAATTTTGAATTATGCCTACATAAAAATCAAACTATATTTTAGTACAACCTCTAAACTTTAGAAAGAGAACAAGAGTGTTTGATTAAAACTGCTGACCTCAAAATCTGCATTTTCTAATAAGCTAGTTTTCTTTCTAAAAGTTTGAAGCAGCTGTGCATGGTGACTCATCCCTTTAATCCCAGCACTTTGGGAGGTCAAGATGGGAGGATTGCTTGAGTCCAGGAGTTTGAGACCTGCCTGGGCAACACAGTAAGATCTCATCTCTAAAAATAAATAAGTAATGAATTAATTTTTAAAATTAATTTTAAAAATTTTAAAAAGGTTTGAAGCTCCTTCGGGGCAGAGATCTATGTATCTGTAAACCATCTGCACGTAGCACAGCATAAAGCACAAATCAATAAATATCGGATTTTAAAAAGTTAATCAATTTAGAACTTTCCTTAGGGAAATTAACTTGTTAAAGTGAAAATTATATTTCATTAAAAATCCTTTACTGCAGTAGTTTTCACAGTGGGGGCACCAGACCAGCAACTTTGGTATCAACAGGAAGTTCGGTAGAAGTGCAGATTCTCAGAACCCCTCTGAGACCTACAGACACAGAAACTCTGGGCTGGGAAGTAACTGTTATTTTCTTAAGCCTTCCACTGAAAGTTAAAGTTTCAGAACTGCTATATTAAGGAATGATCCTCAAACTTTTACTGTTTGGTCCCTTAAAATTAAAAAATTCTTATGGACCCCAAAGTGCTTTAGTTTGTAAGGTTATAATTATCCATATTTGCCATATTTGAAAATAAAACTGAAACATTTTAAAAATACTTAATTCGTTTTAAAATGACAATAGGCCAAGAGCGGTGGTTCACGCCTATAACCTCAGCACTTTCGGAAGCTGAGGCGGGTGGATCACCTGAGGTCAGGAGTTTGAGACCAGCCTTGCCAACATGGCGAAACTCTGTCTCTACTAAAAATACAAAAATTAGCTGTGTGTGGTGGCACACACCTGTAATCCCAGCTACTCGGGAGGCTGAGGCAGGAGAATCACTTGAACCCAGGAGGTGCAGGCTGCAGTAAGCCGAAATTACGCCACTGCACTCCAGCCTGGGAAAGAGTGCAACTCCATCTCCCAAAAAGATAAGATGAGATAAGATAAGATAAGATAAGATAAGATAGCATCTTTTATAATGAAATGGCTACATTTTCTAAAACAAACCAAAAAAATAGTGAGAAGACAGAAACAAAATCAGAAAGGACTTGTGTGATTCATTTTATCTGCAAAAAGGGAAGGAGGGTGTTGAAAAAAAATTGCTTCCATTCTGAGGCCTGTCTTGCGAAGAGGAAAAAAAAATCCCCAAAGGCAAGAAATGGTGAAGGCTGCCTTCCAGAATGGCGGCACTAAGAAGCTTGGCCTTCCAAGAGAAAGACCCACACTATAAGGTATGAGGCTGTTTGCTCCTCCCTCACAGATAAGCAGCAACACGTGACCAACGGAGTGGGGTTCAGGCCCAGTGGTTACTAGGGAGTGGTCTCAGTTCACAGGACGTTGTCAACAGAATTCTGGCCAGGGCTCAGAAACTGGCTATGTAGTAGCCACCTGGTTTCATCATCCTACAGGGGAATGAAATTCCCTTTACCTCACAGACCTGGGGAGACAGAAAATGCAATTATGCAATTTAAGATACCCAATAAACTATTAGGTGGGATTACTCTCTGAGAATCAGATTTTTCACCCACCAAATGTGGTGAACACACTTTCTTCAGATGGGCATATTATGTTTTCTTTCCTTATTTTAAAAAAAGATTTTATGGAATACTTCATGAATTGGTGTGTCACCCTTGCACAGGGGCCACACTAATCTTCTCTGTATCATTCCCTTTTTTTTTTTTTTTATATATATAGTATATGCGCTGCTGAAGTGAACACACCAGATGGGCATACTCTTGAGTAAGTTAAACCATATCTAAAACTCAGAAAGACCACTTAAACTGTCATATTTACAGGATGGCAATTTATGACTCATGATTTAGGTCCAAATAATAGATTTCTCCAAAATAGATCTCACCGATTCTGAAAGGACTTTCCAGCAATATTGTCTCTATAGGAATCAAACAGAACGTGGTATTGATCTCGGCTCCATTCCAGAACCACCTAGAACAAAAAAAGAAACAGCGTTTTCTTCACATCGAAGACTGAGAGTATATAACTTTCATTAAATTTTAATTTCATTAGAATTGCTAGAGAAATGGGTAAAGCAATCAAAATTCATGTATTCACTTACTGCCTACCACACACATTGTGTTATATCCAGGTGAATAAGCTACAGTTCCTGACACGGACAAACTAAAAGACTTAGTGTCTCACCATGCTTGGAATGGGGTAGCAGAATCAAAGAGGTTTAAATGGATGTGGTATTTGAAATGGGTCTTGAAGAATGAGTTCACCAGGTAGGGAAAAAAGGACTGGGCCAGCCAGTTAGAAAAGCATACTCGAAGGCTGAGAAGCAGCAAGGGCAAATTGTTTTAGGGCAACTGAGTGGCTGGCTTTGTCCAGAAGACAGGTAGATAACTGTTGAGAAATGGGTCTAGGAAAGAAAGCTGGGCCCTAAGCGTGACGTGCCCTCTGTGTCTTGGGAGCACTGAAGGATTTTAAGGCAGTAACTAGAATCCCTCTAAAGTTTAAGACTCTTCCCAGAGCATTTACAAACACAAGCAGAAACAGAAGGGACCGTCTGGGCACGGTGGCTCACGCCTGTAATCCTAGCACTTTGGAAGGCTGAGGAGGGTGGATTCCTGAGCTCAGGAGTTAGAGATCAGCCTGGACAATATGGTGAAACCCTGTCTCTACTAATATACAAAAAATTAGCTGGGCATGGTGGCGTGCGCCTTTAATCCCAGCTACTCGGGAGGCTGAGACAGAAGAATTGCTTGAACCTGGGAGACACAGGTTGCAATGAGCCAAGATCATGCCACTGCACTCCAGCCTGGGCAACACAGTGAGACTCCACCTCAAAAAACCAAAAAACCAAGAAACAGAAGGGACTGACAAGATATGGGAGGATAACGACCTTATTACCTGTGAGGTTTCGGCTAATGACCTTGCTAAATATGTCAGGAGAAAATGGAAAGCTTTAGATAGAAGTTCCCTCATGTTTGCACCCTAAATCTATAAACCTACCCACACATATATCCCATTTTCTTTTTCATTCCTCTTACCATAGAGGAAGTGTCCCTCCACCTTGCAGACATCCAATCTCTATTTGCTCTGGATCTCAACTTGTGTGTTCTCAAGACCCTGCCTCTCTTTTCCTTTCAATAGGATTATTCCCATTGGCACGCGAACATGTTCCCGTACCTTGGGAACACCTTCCCTGCACTCCATATCCATTCCAGTGAGTCCCTCTACCCCACATTTTCTGTCCCTTTCAAGGTAATCTCCTGCCTTCCCATTCACCCTTCAGCTCAATCCAGTATCACTCATGCTCTCGCCATTTTCGTGGCCTTACCAACGCCCCCACATTGTCGGGGCATTGGTAATGTCGTTGGCGCTGTTAATATTGCAGCGAGCTCATGTGCTGCGAGTATCTGTAGTGACACTAATTATCTCCATGTGAGCAGTTTGTCTCTCTAGTAAATTGCATGTTGTGGTAAAAAGTGATCTCTTATCTTTCTTACGTATTTTTCATATTTAAGGCAATACCGTAAACTGTGAAGAACACCATGGGACTCAGAAAGTGCCACTAGCGCTAATGGAAGTGCTCCCAAGAAGCAGAGGAAAGTCATGACATTACAAGAAAAAGTTGAATGGTTTGATATGCACCATAAATTGAGGTCTGCAGCAGTGGTTGCTGGCCATTTCAAGACAAATGAATTTAGCTAAGAATCACTGTGAAGCTGTCACTGACAGCTCGAAAACTGCATTTTTTGCTAAATGCCTTTTTATCTTGTATTGAAAATGCGCTTTAACATGGGTCCAGAATTGCTATAAGAAACACATTCCTATAGACTAACATAATGCAAGAAAAAGCAAAGTTGTTAGATGACAACTTAAAGCAAAAGGACAATAAGGGTCTAAAGCAGGAGAATGTAATGCCAGCAAAGAACGATTTGATCATTTTAAAAAGAGATTTGGCTTAAAAATGTCAAGATAACCGGAGAAGCACCTTCTGCGGACAAAAAGGCAGCAGATCAGTTCCCAAAGAAAATCACTGATGAGAAAGGATATCTACCTGAACACGTTTTTAATACTGATGAAATTTAATTATGGGAAAAATGTGACAAAGAACATTTATTAGTAACGAAGAGAAGCAAGCATCAGGATTTAAAGCAGGAAGGGAAGGGACAGGCTGACTCTACTGTTTTGTGCAAATGCTGTCAGGCTTTCCTTATCTGTAATGCTGCTAACCCCCAAGGCTTGATGGAAAAAGATTAACACCAACAGTCAGTGTTTTGGTTGTACAACAAGAAGACCTGAATAAGAGCTCTTTTACTGGACTAGTTCCTTCGACACATTGTCTCTGAAGTCAGGAAGTACCTTGCCAGTAAGGTACTGCCTTTTAAAGTCCTTTTGATTGGACAATGCCCATGGCCACCCAGAACCCCATGAGTTCAACACTGAAGGCACTGAAGCGGTCTACCTGCCCTAAAACACAGCATCTCTCTAATCAGCCTCTAGATTTGGGGTAGGGGGGTAAGTGGAAGGGCATAAAGATCTTTAATGCTCATTATGGTACTCTATGGAAAGAACTGTCAACACCGTGGAAGAGAACCCCAATAGAACTTTTGGTTTTGGTTTTGTTCTGACATGTTTCCATACACTTGCACGTGTACTTTAGTTTGTGGAACCCTGGTCCAAACCCCAAACATTCCCTGACAGGGCTTATAGGGTTCTTACTTTGTTCTTGGGAGATGAATGAGAAGCCGAAAAAAGCATGTAATCATAGTCCCCCTCCTGGGACCCCTGCCAGCTAGCTACATGTTCAAAAATTATGGTCTTTGGCCAGGTGTGGTGGCTCACACCTGTAGTCCTAGCACTTTGGGAGGCTGAGTTGGGAGGACTATCTGAGCCCAGGAGCTCAAGACCAGCCTGGGCAACACAGTAAGACCTCGTGTCTATTTTTTCCCTGTTATAAAAAATTTTTTAATTAAAAAAAATTATGATCTTCTCTTGTGAACAGTTTTAAATCAATGGATAGAGAACATCAAAACTAATTTGGATGGCCATCCTGGAGATCTTTTGAGTCCACAAATTTGTCTTTCTTAGAACAAAATCAGGGCCAGGCGTGGTGGCTCAGGCCTGTAATCCCAGCACTTTGGGAGGCCATGGAGGGAGGATCACTTGAGGTCAGGAGTTCGAGATCAGCCTAACCAACATGGTGAAACCCCATTACTAAAAATACAAAAACAAAAATCAGCCAGGCATGGTGGCAGGTGCCTGTAATCCCAGTTACTTGGGAGCCTAAGGCAGGAGAATCGCTTGAATCTGGGAGGCGGAGGTTGTAGTAAGCTGAGATCGCGCCACTGCACTCTAACCTGGGCGACAGAGTGAGGCTCCATCTCAAAAGAAAAAAACAATACAAGACAGCAGTCTTATAATTAAAAATCTGAGTGGGAGGCATACTTTAATTGGTACCTTGAAGCTTCTAAGCACACTCAGGGTCCTAAAATTGCCTCTCTACAACACAGAATCTCAAAATTAATTAAGATAAACAGTTAAGAAAAAACAAGGACCAGGTGGCTGACGCCTGTAAAGCCAGCACTTTCAGAGGCTGAGGTGGGAGAATCACTTGAGGCCAGGAGTTCAAGACCAGCCTGGGTAACATAGTGAGACCTCATCTCTACAAAAAAATTAAAAATTGGCCAGGCATGGTGGCACACACCTGTAGTCCCAGCTACTCAGGAGGCTGAGTCTGGAGTATTATTTGAGCCCAAGAGGTGGAGGCTGCAGTAAGCCATGACTGCATCACTGCACTCCAGTCTAGGTGACAGAATGAGACCCTGTCTCAAAAAAAAAAAAAAAAAAAAAAGGCCAGATATAGTGGCTCACACCTTTAATCCCAGCATTTTGGGAGGCAGAGGTAGGTGGATCACTTGAGCCCAGGAGCTCGAGACCAGCATGGGTAACATGGCAAAACCCTGTCTCTACAACACCAAAAAATTAGCCAGGCATGGTGGCACGTACCTGTAGTCACAGCTACCTGGGAGGCTGAGGCAGGAGAATTGCTTGAGCCCAGAAGGTGGAGGCTGCAGTGAGCATTTATTACTGTGCCACAGTGCTCTAGCCTGGGTGACAGAAGGAGACCCTGTCTCAAAAGAAAAAAAAAAAAAAGCTGGAAAAAAATTAAAAAAAGAACAAGGCCTTAAGGACCCAAACTCTTTCCTCTCTGGAACAGATGAGACTTCCCCTTCCTTCTTTTCTCTCTGTTCTCCTCTCTTTTTCTGGTCTGCCAAAATCTGTCCCTTTAAAGTTAAAGGAGGCTGCATGAAGGAAAAAAATAAAAATAAAACAATTCAATTAAACTAGCCTGAGTGTGGTAGCTCATTCTGTAATTCCAGCATTTTGCAAGGCCAAGAAGTTGGGCATTCGAGACCAGCTGGGGCAACATAGTAAGACCTTGTCTTTACAGAAAAAAAAAAAAAAAATTTTAATGAGCCAGGCATGGTGGCGCACACCTGGAGTCCAGCTACTCAGGAGGCCAAGGCTGGAGGATGGCTTGAAGTCAGGAGTTCATGGCCAGCCTGGGCAACATACAGAGATCCTGTCTCTAAAAAAAAAAAAAAAAAAAACCAACAAATCAATTAGCCAGGCATGGTGCATGTCTGTAGTCTCAGCTACTTGGGAGGGTAAGGTGGGAGAATCACTTTAGCCCAAGAGTTGGAGGCTGAAGTGAGCCATGATCGTAATACAACACTTGAGCCCAGATGACAGAGCAAGACCCTGTCTCTTAAAAAAAAAAAAAAAAAAAAAGAGAGAGAGGAAAGAAAGAAGAAGAAAGAAATGAAAATTAAACTCATTGACAATTCCTCTAGACTCCAAATTTCTTTTGTTCTTTGGAGCAAGGCTGAACTTCATGCCACTGCCAGGGAACTTCCAGAGGTTACTGGGGATCCTCATCAATTTGCTGATTAATTCAACATAGTAACTTAGGGTTA